AATATAACAATGAGAGTAAATAACTTAAAAATAGTCGCAAAATTAGTGCAGAAAAAAGCTATCTAAAAGCTTTTCATACAGAATAGACAGCTGAGCAGACGGAAAATCGAAAAATCAATTGTATGCAAACAGGACCATAAAGTAATGTTTGTTCCGGAAAGTTCTGCGGAGTTTTTAAGAGTACATTACACTAGTTTGAAATGTGGTTCACATCAAAAAAAGGACAAGTTTTAATGTATGTCACAGTCATAATTTTTGTTGTCAACCTATTGACTATAAATAAATAGACAGAGGAGCATTAAAAAGTTTTATACGATTAACGAAAAACTGATATAAACAATTTCTTTTCACACGAATTTTAAGTGAGATTACATGGCAAAATTTCTCTAGAAGTGTCAATGCACAAATTGTTATAAGCGTTTTATAGTTATCATGACAGTTTTAAGTGCACTTCAATTTTTAACCTTATCGTAATATTTAAAATTATTCTTTTCAAATATTTCTACACTTATGGTTTAAAATGACAAGAAAACAAACTGTTGTCCACAGTGCGAATCTTTTTTTTTTTTGGACATACTTATTTATTTGTTATTTTATTTATGTACTTACTACACTGCCATTTTTAGAAAAGACCATTTATATAACTTTGATTAAAATTCTTTTCTTATCACATTTTTACTTTCTGTACAAAGGGAATTGGGTTTCCTCTTACGAATATCTAATTTAAATTTTCCTTGACGCTTCACAGCTGCTAGATTCGGAAATTATAGGTTTCCCATTTCCGCCTCTCTGCCATCTGTCTGTTGGCAACTTGTGATAAAGAGAAGTTCAGAAACTACCCATCGATTACTACATTTTTTTTTAAGTGAACCTCAAGACTATTGCAAGCAAACATTTACCTAAAATTCATTGTTACGTCATCTCAATATTTTTTTTAATAAACTCATTTAAATAATTTTGTTATGAAAAAGAAACACTACGTTCAAAAATATATTATCCATGTATTTGCTTTGCTTATATGTAATTACAAACAGAGTACCGTTGACATGTAGATATTTTAACGCTGATTACATTACTGCAAAAATATTTACTTGCTTACTTATTAAAATGTAAATAAGTTATTGTAAAATACATCATGTGCTGTAACTGAGTTATCCTTCGACGTGAAATTGTATAAGTCTGCGCTAAATACAGGTCAATAATGAACCTTAACTTGACGATTAATCTAGTACTACACACGTTCAAGGATGTTACGTGTTCAAATTATGTTAACCATAAATAAATTCAACTACAATTTTTACTGCCTATGCTGTCATCGTGTTACCGATAACAACTGTTACGTATTATAGTTTTGTCAACAGAACGGCGTTTGTTTTTCCTGGGTGTCGTTGATCTGAAATTTTTCAATGATACGATATTAAATTTATTTTTGCTTGCCCGTTTCCATCCAGAGCTTTGCTTCATATCTTGGTTAAATATTTTAAATTTTCTGGATGGATAAGCAAAACTTTAGAAAGTCAGGAAATATTTACCAAAAATATTTATATGTAAAACAGTTCTCTTGGTTTGAAATTAACTAGTCCTACGATAATAGCAGCTATAGCATTACTTATTACCATATATCTAATTACTAACACGCTTACAATGCTGCCAATAATACAGAACTGCCAACCAAAAAATTTGCTTCAATCATTAATGACTAATTAACTAATGTTTGTGGATATAGTATTTCGAGTAATCAAAAAATGTAAAACTTTTTCGGCTGGTTGCGTTATTGACGTTATAACAACTGAAAAAATTCGTCGAAGACGGAACTTTCCTCGCCTTTGAAATGCAGTAAAATATAATCAGTTTTTTTGAAAAATCAAATTTTAGATTTTCATTTTTTGAAAACCCCTATAAGCTAAAATAAAGATATGTATGTAGTGTAAATAGGTGTTTCTTTAAAAAAAAATTGTGATCCTGATTTAATCGATAAACTAAACTGAGTCATTCATTAATTTTCTTGAACTATCCTGTAACCCTGTATAAACACTTTATATATGTACTTACTCCACTGCCATTGTTACAAAAAGACCATCTATATAACTTTGATTAAAACTCTTTTCTTTTCTCATTTTTACTTTCTTGCCAAAGGGAATTGGGTTTGCTCTTACGAATCTGTAAGTCAAATTTTCCTTAACGTTTCACAGCTGCTAGATTGGAAAATTATAGGTTTCCCATTTCCGACTCTCCGACGTCTGTCTGTTGACAACTTTATTATAAAGAGAAATTCAGAATCTACCCTATGAATTACAAAATTTTCTTTAAGAGACTATTGCAAGCATGGTAATACAAAAATATTGACCTAAAATTCATCATTACGTCATCTCAAAATTTTTTAATAGCGTCAAAAAATATTTAACTGTATAAACAATTTTAAAAATTAAATGCAGTGATAAATCAAGAGTCTAGACTCATTATATTTTGTTCATTCTAGATAGGATTTATTCGGCAAAATTTTGAGATGGTGTCCTCATTTTTTTAAAAAGTCTACAATTTTTTGAAACATTCAGTTTTGCAGTTCCTGATTTAATCAATAAAATAAATTGATTCATTCATTAACTTTTTTGAGTCACCCTGTAGATTTCGTCATCAATTTTTTGGGGGGGATAAAAATATACCTAAGTATATATTTTCATCAAAAATTTATCATGCTTTCGAACTTTAAATCATTTACAAGATTTCAAAGCATTCGGTTTTGCAGATTCAAAATTAAATTGCAAAATGTTGTTGTAAAATTTTGATTTTTTTGTAGGGCTATGTCATTTTATACAATTTAAAACCCATTTATTAAGTACAATTTTGATATGACATTGTTGGTGGAGTAGATTAGACAAAATTCATAATGCACGTATCAAGTTTGACAACAATCGGTCCGGTAGTTTTAAAGATTATCCGTGTAACAAAAATTGACACAGACAGCAGAAAAACAGACAGACAGACCGACGGAAACGAGAGACCTAGTTTTTCGTACCCTAGGGGTCATGATACATCGAGAAAATATGAAAGTAGCCAGTCGCCTGATGGACTCGATTACAATACTTTCTTAGCTCATGAAATAAAACGCTTTATTGCAAACTTTGTTACAAATTTTTCCGTTTTATTAAAAAAAAAATGACTTCCACGATCCACGAATTACCTACTATTAGTAGAGTGTTATGACTTATTACTTACTACTACTATTAATGTGATTGTTTTGTCAAAACGCTATTGCTGTTGTAAATGTTATTTATGTTTATATCAGATTACATATTTGATTTATTTTGGTATTTTGGTTCCATTCTACTTTGAAACTTCCAAATGATAAAATATATTTTGGAAATTCTTAAAAAAACAAATAGCTATTTTCATTTTTCTCGACGTTTCATGATCCCAAGAGTACGAAAAAATAGTCCCGCGTTTCCGCCTGTCTATCTGTCTGTGTCGATTTTTGTTACACAGATAATCTCCGAAACTACTGGACTAACTGTCATCAAATTTTATGTGTATGTTAGGAATATCGTATAGATGATGAAACGCTAATTAAAATATGTCCAATCATTCCCACCACAATTTAATGGGATGACGTCTTTTCCAAAAATTTACAATAGTAATCTTATTTAAAATTTATAAAATAAATTCCTACACCTGTGGTCTATGAATTCGTGTTGAGATTTAGCCACAAAACAAAGTTTAAAAGATATGATGAACATTATCCAAAGCGTAGTGAAAAGTACAGAAAAAAGCGCAATCAAACAAACCCAGTTTCTTAGACAAACGATAAAATATGCTTTTCTGAATTTAATTTCTTTATGAGAACCCTTATAAGTTAAAATAAAAATAAGACATCATCATCTATTTAGTGTAGAAAATTATATGTATATTAATTTGGAGAGGTTCAGTGTGATACTAACAACAATGCTGTAGATAAGCTGTTTTCTACTTAATCAATAAAATACCTTGCTTTATTCATTTTTTGGCACATCCTATACAACAAATTCGAAAAAGCATAACATCATTTGATTTTTGAAATCTAGATAAATTTTGATTAGCAACATACCATGCCCATGATAACATTTGATAAATTTTCAAAGTTTTAAAAAAAAAATGTAGATGTCTCATGTAAAAATTAGAGGCTGGTTACAGACTACAATTATTGCATGTTATTTTTTAACAACAATAAGTTCAGCAGTTCAATAAAATCACCTACACATGGGGGACACACTTAAGGACCTAATTTTTCATAGTTTAAAAGTAATAAAACTTCGAAAAAACATAAAATTCACCGTTTGTCAAATAGAATCTATACAAATTAAAGCATTAAAGTAATAAACAATATAACAATCTCTTGCAAATAATTTATCAAAGTTATCTAAATTTAATATTTAACAACAATGAATTAAAATGGAATATGAATAGACTAAAATAATAGCGTTGTGTTAAATCCACGTAATCTTAATAATTAAACTGACACTGATAAATAATGACAACAATCAAATAATACAATGAGAATTAAACAATGGATGGCATCTCTTGAATTAAAGTCATTCTTTCTCTAAACGCATTGTTGAACGATTTCAGGTTTCAAAAAAATTCGGAAACCAAAACCGAGGAATGTGAAATATTTATTGTGCAATAAATGTTAATCCACTTTAAACCTACAATAATAATTCCACACGATGTGTGAATTCGAACTTGTATATCTCTCATTCCGAAAATTGTATGCAACGAATGCCCGTTTGTGGTGGAGTTTATCATTCCATGCTGATAACCCGTTCTGGTTTAATAACACAGAAACAATATCTTTATGACGTACAGCTGATAACATCATCATGCAGGGTCGTATCGCAACGTAACGTTTATTTATAGAAAGTGATGCACATTTTAAAGGAAACGTTGACGTCGAGTGTTAAAATGAATAAAATCATCAATACTTTTTGCGATGACTTGCTGTAACATTGGCGTTTGCAGATGACAAATGTAACCGCTGTTACTGTCAATTTTGTATTAATCCGGTCATTGTCATCAATTTAACGAAATTCGATAGTAGAAATGTTTCGTTATTAGTCAAAAAAATGAAACTGTTGATACTAGATTCTCCGGACGAAGTTGCTTCGTGGTCTGCTAAATACGTTGCTAAAAGGATTAACGAATCTAAGCCAAGTCGGGACAGGTATTTTGTCCTTGGCCTTCCCACAGGTAAGATATGGCCATAAAAACGATAGTCGTCGAACATACCTGGGTTGTGATGTCAATTACCTTACCTCGCTATTGAATTACTACACCACCCACAACCAGAAGGTTGTGTAGGTGTTTGGTGAGACGAATGACGACAGGTCTCGTCCTTCGAGGTGATGAACTTGACTTTGGCGTTATCATTATGTGTTATCAAGTTAAACCACGGTACTTTTTTCCTGATTTTTTTTCCGGTTCGTTTATCATAGTCTGTTGTCCTTAGTTCGATATAAACAAACGCCTTAATTTACTAGGCACTTTATTCTTGTTATTGTTTTAATGGTACCGTTGGGCGATGACTTCCTTTTGTTGTAGGTAGTAAGATTCTAATTGTTTGTTTACAGGTGGTACCCCTCTTGGAATGTACCGGAAGTTGATTGAACTACACAAAAAAGGAAAAGTGTCGTTTCAATATGTTGTTACATTTAATATGGATGAATACGTAAATTTGCCCAAAACTCACAGCCAAAGTTATCACTATTTCATGTATGATAACTTCTTCAAGCACATTGATATTGATCCGAAGAATGTGCATATTCTGGATGGAACCGTTTCGGATTTGAAGTCGGAATGTTCAGATTATGAGAAAAAGATTAAGCAGATCGGAGGATTTGATTTGTTTATAGGAGGTAAACAATGAACGTAGGTTTATTAATCAAAATTGTTCAGCTGTTGTAACTGAGTTTAAGTCAGCGAAAAACGAAACTCAAATTAATACAATTTTCGGTGACACTGACAATTATTTTGTGATCTGGATAAAGTGTTAATGATGTAATTTATTGGCATATATCAAATGGAGAAAACATCTCAAGACCATTTAAACTTCTGTACTTTGCATTATTTCTACTTCCCGATTTTGTCTAGAATATGACCATTTCTATGTGTCGGTTTTTTATGGTTTACTGAACTGAATAGAGATAGTAAAACGCTAATCAAAGTTTGTCATAATCCCCCCCAAAAATTTATTGACGTCATCTCAAAATTTTTCTAAGCATATCCGGTTTAAAATGCAGTCGCACTCTGTGTTTGACCTATCCCAGTGTTTTCGTCGTTTTTTACTGTTCAATTTTCATTTTTTTTTTTTTTAGAACAACTAAAATAAATGAATTATAGACGAATTTTATCGATCTTATTTTTTACGTCTGGTCGCATTCGCCAGTTACACGATAAAATACGGATCACCGAAATCAAATGCTGCGTGACTGTATTTGATTGTGTACAGTGCAGATTTAACGAACGGGTGAGATGGTATTTTGGTTGACCGAGTCCCAGATCCTGCGAACCCATTGCTTCGCGGTATCTATTTTACGCCCGACGTCCCATGACTTATCTGTCCTCGATGGGGGAACGGCGACTTCAACAAATAAATTGAAACTGCCTGGAAACAAATCCAGACTTAATTGTGACCTAGTTTGTTTTGATGCCACATTTTTTAAATATGTACACAATTAGATTTAATTAATTATTGTAATTACTAATAATTCTGAAGTAATTTAGTCGAAAGTGCAATGCAGCCTTCAAACTGGTGCACGATTTTGAAGGGTGTAACGATTTATGGTACTGGCGTTTTTTTCCACTTTAAATTTATGTCGGTTTTTAAATTTATTATCTGATACAGAACATAAAGCTTGCAGTATTAGAAAGTTGATAAACAAAAAAAAATTAACAGCGAATTGTCTGAGCAAAAAACATTCAAAAATTTTCATAAACATACAGGCTGTTTCTGAAATTCATGTACAAAAAAAATTTGAAGGCTCTTGATATTGAGTATATCGTAAAAATAAAAAAAGTTGGAATAAAAGTCTTCTCGTTTTTGAGATAAAATCATTGAAATTTTACTCAAAAATTCTTGAGCGCCACTGGGTTAAGTTTATAATTATTAGAACGTAATTTTTCAGACCTCTTGGCTCACTAGACAGCTCCAATTTTTTTTTGTTAATGAATTTCAAAAACACCCTGTATACGTACAACGTTTTCAGTAACAAGTAATGATGTTGGGAGAACTCACCGACTGAAATGAGTTTTTTGAATTGACTTATAATCTATTGGTAGTAATACATATTCTACTGCCAATACATAATAATAATAATAAAAAACGTAAAAATTCTACAAGAAAAATTATTTTGAATTCTTATTTCATACAAACATTTTTACATTTGGTGGTCATGTCGTAGTCCTTAGAATATGAAAAAGTAGGCCTTCCATTTCTGTCTGTTTGTTTGTCTATTGGCACAGACAAATATAATTTCCGAAACTACTGGACTGATTGTTAGATATATTTTAAAAGTATGTATCATATACAAGATATCAAAATTGATATATTTATTTTCACCAAAACCTTGATGGCGTCTTTTGAGAATTTTATTAAGAAAATCTGGCTTAATACACTCAATATAACGCGATGTTCCTTTTTTATAAAGTTTTCTCGTCGAAATAATCTGTGTGAGAAAAAACCCTGACATGGATTTGGAGCGAGGGAAGTAGACTAATTCTTGTTTCATAAAATAAAACAAGTTCTGGTTTAACAGCAAGATAGTAAATTACGGTTAATATAATAATTATTATTATTTTCCAACAGCAGTGCCGATTACGGAACATAGTATTAAATAAGTAATTGTAAATTCCTCATAAGAAATTAAAGTAATTAAATATTTTTAACAGAAATAATAATTGTATGAAGTATTTCTTTGTCAAGACCGTGCAGTTTTTTAATCCAAATTATTTGCAAAAAATAAGAAAGCAAAATGACGCATTGTTGTTCTTCCATCAGTCATAAAGAATAATTTAATACAAGAAATAAAAATACAGTAATTTTTTTATTAAAAAAAATAATTTTCTGTTTGGAAACACTACTTCTAATGGAGATCGTAACAAAATTGCAATGTTACATTTTTGTTGAAGATCATTATCATTAATAATGAATTTGGTTTTTTCTTTGCCTACCAAAATGTGTTGTTTGTAGCCGTTTGTTTTAAAATCTACAACTATAGCAAGGGAACACTAACCATTTAAAAGTTATTAATTTGAATATTTCTGTTCAGAGAATATGCTGCTGAAATTTTGAGATTAATTATGATAAGATACACTTATATATAAAATCTATTTTTGAAGGTATACATAATTTCAAAGAATAAAAAAAAAACAACACCCAACTGAAATCAATCACTGATTATTATATACGTTGTCTCAAATGTAAATTGCCTTGTCAATAACTGTCAAAAAGAAAGAAGTGTGGATTGTCTAATATAAGTGGCTTTTATCTAAATAAATTTCCGTTGCACTATAGTATTTATGAAATCGGTATTTTTAACGTGACTGTGATAATTTTTTGTCTAAATTCGACGTCATTATATCACACCTTACAAATAAAATGATTCATTATCTTGTTTCCTATTATCTCATAGTGTCATACAACAAAATAGTTCTGGTTTACAGTGTTACAGCTGGAAAAACCTTAAAAATGATGTATTGTTATAATTCTGTAAATAATCTTATTAATCTTACGTGAAATTTTGAACCCTAAAATAATCTTTTAGTCTGCAAAACAAATACTACCAATTTAATTTAAGGCTAAAATGTTTGTGTTACTCAAAAAAAATCTGGTCACTTTTTCGTATTTAGCATCACACAATTTTTCTTTTAGGAGTATACTTTGGAATTCTCTACCGATAATTGATACTAAATTGAAGTCTCTATAAATATAAATTAAACTTATTTCGATGTTCTTAAAGTTTTAAATAATTAGGTAATACACTAATATAATTTAAAAAATAATTTTAAAAGATTCCTAAGGTGCTAAGTGTTATCTTTATATTTTCTTATGGATGGTTTTGCATACGTGAATACAGAAAAAATACAGTCCTTCTAGAGCATAATGCTATTTCAGAAGTATTCAGATATTTTAAGTACTAGAAGATCATAATCACAATGTACTTAATTAAGTGGAGCAATTAATAATATCTGACACAAGTTAGATACGTGTCAAAAACTTTGAAAGTTTCTAGAACATCACGACGTAATCACTTTGTTATTCAACACATTTTATTTGTTTGAGTCATATCTCGAACGAAATAATGTACTTTTAATGATTAAATAAAACAAGGCAATTAATTTCACTATAATTAAATCATTAATGCATGACATTATACTACTATAAAACAACGAGTATTCACGCAAATTTTGGTAGCACAAAAAATACTTTAATCTGTTCTAGCGTTTTGTACAAATTTCATCGCCAATTTTGTGTCAACGTAATTCCATATTTTGTAAACACGCCCTATTTAAAACGTGTTTTATCGTTTATTGGTAAAATAATCATCGTTTGATCAGGTGCATTCAAAGTACCTAGCTGAATAAATTTAAATGGATTTCACATGAAATCATACTCTGCATTCCTGACTTCGTTAATATGATCGTTCGAACGTAACAGCAAAAGATTATTAAATAATAACATTATCTCTCATCCATCCTGAATTTATAACAGCGACGGAAACGAGTAGAAGTTGAAATTTAGCCAATTATACAGAGACAAAGAGCCTGATTAAAATGCGGGTGGCAGTGACTCTGATGCCTTATTTTTACTGACGTAAATTAGATCCGGGATTGTATTTAACCTGTTTTGATGAAGTTAATGAGACCAAATGGGAGTTTACCCTGGAATTATCACATTACCATCCATTATCAAATAAATGGTCGTAACGGAATAGCATCATTATGCGTAAACTTTATTCACGACTCGAACAAGTGTGTTGATTTAATATTATTGTGCTTGTATAAATGCAGGAATCGGAGCAGATGGTCACATCGCGTTCAATGAGCCAGGATCATCCTTGGTTTCCCGCACTCGCGTGAAGACTCTCACCGATGACACTCGGGAGGCCAATGCTCGGTTTTTCGATAATGATATTTCCCAGGTCCCTAGAGAAGCACTCACCGTTGGTGTTGGAACTGTCATGGATGCGAGAGAGGTTTGTTGGTAATATTATTTGTAGGTCGTTTTCGCAGCTGGTAAGGCAGTTTTTCTGTTAATGTAAGTGTCATAAGATAATGTGAGATTTATGCATGAACAAGTTCTCATGAAGATTTACAAGAACAGTTTTCATACCATAATTTTTGTAATATGTATAAAGTTTTCGAAAATTCGATTGGGCAATTAATTGAAAAAATCTAATAGTTTATAATAATAAAACACAATTCGTCGGATCCGTTAAAAAAATTTCATAAGGTACATCCTAGATGCAAATCCAATCTGAGGATGACTTTAATTTCCTGGAAATGTAAATACATGTCCTTAGAGATTCTATTGTGGTACCTGAAACAACAGTGCCACTTAAATTACCCGCCCCCGTGATCCTGGATTTTACGATCCATGGTTCTTGGATTACTGCTATGGTGTTTTGCATCTTAGCTAGGCGACGACATTCCTATCTTAGGAGACACAAGGCTTCATTTCCTGGGATTTCTGCCTCTTCCATAGGGATGCCCATCCTGAGTCGACGCCTCGTTCTCCTTACGTTTCAGGTTGAAGGAGGGCAGCATGTAGTTGATCCTGCCCTCTCTCCCCTGATTATTTTGGCCGCATCCATCCCAAAACCAAACACAAAGAGGTTGTCCAGAGAGGCAGTCTCGGGTTTGACCTCGTGATGGAAGACAAGCCATTTTTTGACGCGGCCCCATTGGTTTTGACCCTGCAGGCGGTGAAGGACGACCTCTGCATCAACCGGTGGTCCCGGTATCCACAGGGTCGCCCTCACCAGCCTTGGTAGCTCAGCCAAGGGGACCACGTTAGTTGTGCGCCTTCCCACAAGGGTGTTAGAGAGCGCAGGCCATTTTGTACCAACTCCGCCTGGTCAGCAGTCAGCTTGCCAAGTGGATGCTGAACATCAATCACAGCTATATACGGAGATGACTTGCAGCTACCTCCCTGTAGCTATGTTCTTTAGAGATGTTTGTGCTACCGAAGGTGTGGAGGTTGAGGACCGCACTCTGTTTTTTGACCCTGAGGTCTTTTTTCCGTTAGGTTGTTTTGGGTCCTTTGCCCTTGGGGTTTATCCCGGAGGAAGATGGGTCGGTATTTGGCACTCCGCTTGTAAGGGAGCCTTCCTCCGCCTTTTACTTCAGCCCCGCAGATTCGCTTCCACTTAGGAGGTTGCAACCCCACAGTGGCTGGTTTCCAGTTTGAGGTGCACCCGAAGGCACTTCCTCACCCATTACAGAATCCAATAAGGGGACATCGAACTTCGACCCCAGAGCTAGCAGAAGAATTGATATAGCTCTCAGAGACGCAAATCGTGCAACAACTGAGACTACTTGTGCTCAGACTACACACTACACTTCTCCCAAGGACCCACCCTGTTGGCGGTTTGACCCGACGACGCACCCGATTGATCTGAGATGGGTTAATCTCGACCTCCCGTTTTGGTGGAAATCCAGGCCAAAAAGGCGTGTTGTCCAACTTTCAGGATTCGTTTTATCCCACCTAACGGGTCTCCGCGCATAGCACAAACACGCGGGAGCTTGTCCGCGGGGCTGTTTTGACGATCCCACGCCAGGGATTTATTCCCGGGAGGGTCCGTTTATTTCCAGTCCGCCTTTACTGGACCGCCTTCGCGTCCGTCTAAGCCGGCCACCACCAAGGCATGTCCAGGCAAGACGAACCTCAGCCCTAACCCACCCCTAACCCACATATCTGGAGATGGGAAAATCTAGATCGGACTTCCACCACCCTCAAGAGTGTTTAATTCCGCGGGGGCATTTCCTCCCTCCTTAGATCTCCCTTATCCAGACAATGCAGGTACGGTCCCCTTGAGGGGACACTCTCCCTATCCGCAACCTGGGGACGCGCCTGATAGGTAGCTCAACCCATAGGAATATCGTACCATATAAATATTTGAAAAAAATTCAGATCACGACGGCTATATGAACTGAAATAAAACTGAAAAAAAATCATTAATGTGTACACTTGAATTAATTTAGAAGATTTGTTTCCAAAAAGTTTGAAATAACCAGAGTTTTCCAAGCTTGAACTGTTGTCAAACAGTTTCGATTCTGAAGTGAAGCTTCTGCAGTGACTCAAAATTGATTTGGTTTACGTTATGTATAATAATTCTGTAATTTTTATTAATCATTGCGGGTTATTTAGGAGAATTGATAATAATATTTTACACGTAATCAGATTTTTTTTTAATTTTGAGAAAGTGTTTCAGGTTATGTGAATGAATTACAATCTCCACAAATTTTTAGAAAACCTTAAACCTGTCTCTTGACAACGGTGTTTCTTTTGACTAGTGGAGTACTGGAAAGCTAAAGTACTATTGAAAAGACAATAGCCATAAAACTAGTAATTTGTTTTCAAAATATCGGTATCACGAAAAGTCGTTTGATCTTTTCAAAAATTTTCGAAAACTGCATCTCTGATTATTATTGTAATAGCTTGATTCCGCAGTTTGTGCTCATATTGTAGGGTTTTCCATTGGTCTGTTGGCGGATGATTTATAATTATAATTTAGAACTATTGAATATTTTGAAGTTACATATCAAAATTTTGTTAATGGATCGCCTTATACAGGGTGACTCACAAATGAGACACTTATAACTCTATGACACGTCAAGGACTGTATGTTAAACAAAGAAAAAATAATTTAAACAATAATTTAAACAATTTTTGGACTCAAATGTACACAATAATATAGACCTCCACAGTTTAATTTTTTTTTAGATATTTGACCTTATTTTAATTCACTAGTTAGTGTTGGGTACATAAAATCAATCGGACTTTCGTTATTCAAAATAACTTTGGAAGTATCATGTCTCTAACTACGGTTTTCTTAATTTTATATTACAAAAAACTTAAAAATTAGACAGATATTTTTTAATCTATCGATCTAAATCGATATTTTGTTTTTGTAAGTAAGTATTGACGTGAACTCAATAATGTGCCGTTGGGATAGAGTGTCATTTTTGAATAATCCTGTATACATACATATTTATTTAGAATCTTCATGAAGAAAGAAACAAAAGTATGTCAGGTCAAATCAGGTCCGGTCAGCAAGGATTTTTTTGATACGGTGGTTTGAAAAGATTAGCATTTTTATCAAAAAAAAAAAAAACAACAAAATTCACAGAGCTTCACCAGAGCTGTTCGAATTGTTACTTTTCTCATATTTTTCAAATAGGACACATTTTATTTAATATCATGTTCGAACTTGTCTTCATATAATTAATTAATTAGGCATTCTTTCGATACTCGATTTATTTATTAGTACTAAAAGAAAGAAAGTTCACTTAAAGATAAGCTTGCAAATGTTATAAAATACAGGCTATCCGAAATCGATACTTTGAAAGTTAAAAATTCTTCAATTTTTTATACGTTTATAGCCAGGTAAATAAAACATTTGGGCAGAATTCTTACCTCCAACGCTAAATATACAGAACACATTTGATCAAAACATTTTTGTGTCCGATATCATTTTTCTGCTTTTTGAATAAGGAATTTAAATCTGTAAAAATATAACGTCTTCAAAGTAATTTTAAATTGTATTAGACTGCATCAAAGAATTGTTTTCATAATCAATACATACCATCTAAATACTTAACTGAAAAAAATCTGATCACACACGGCTGTATGAGTTGACAAAAAACTGAATTCTTAGATTAAATTCATTCTTCAGCTTCTCAGTTTTGTTTGCAGACGTTGGTTTTATATAGAGTTTATTCTACAAATAAAAACTGAAAAACTGATTCCTCTGTAGACTTTAATTAATTTTGAAAATTTCTTTCCAAAATGTTAAAAATAAAAAATAACTAGGTGTGTTTTTTACAATTTTGAGAAAGTATTTGTGGTTAGATGAAGCTATTTATTCAATGCTCCATAAATTTTTAGAAAATCTTAAATCTGCCTTTTGACAAAACTGAATAGTGGAGCTAAAGTACATTGGCAATACAGCGAAATTCAAAAGTACTACATATTTTATAATATTTTTTTAAAATACCGGAAACAACAATTATAACATTTTTTAAGAAAGTAGTTATTATGTTAACAAATACAAAATTTATAAATTTGAATGTGTTATTAAAATTTGTTTGAAAAAAGATTAGACAAATCTTTGAAAAAAAAAAAACACACACACAAGATAAGTGAGTATCAAAAAAATGAGGTTACTGCTTCAGAGTATCTATATGATAACAAAAAAGATGAAATATTATTAAATAATTAGATATATTTATAGACAAGATACAGAGCTATGGAGAGATGATGGAGTTAATGAGTGACAAAATTGATTAATAAGGAATAAACATGACTATAAAACAGACTAAAGAAACACAGACATAAGGATAGAAGGTGACAGGAATTTGAAAACGAAAGAAAGGAAACAAATTCTGCTTCTAAGCGAATTATGCTTTGAAGACGGAAAAGAGCCTATAATGAATAAGAAGTCTAACAGAAAAAATGAAACACTGATAAGACAAAAGAAAATTTATTACAAATAATTTTGGAATGCATAGTTAATTTTTGATATTTGACATATGTGATACTTTGTGCTCAAACTCAAAAAAACTTAAATAACTGAACATAGTACGAAATAGTTTTTAACAGTCACTAGATAAGAAATTTACAAAGGAATGGAGGCGGGAGATGGACAGGGTAACAACATTGCATGTAGGGGAACTAGGGGCTTGTTGTAACAGGGGTAAGTTGTAACACTAAATTTTTACCCGGAATTTAAACTCTTTAACGTCAGGTTTTTTACTGAACTTAATTCTTGCACCATAAGACATCATGTCATCACAACCACTGTTCCTTCAGCCAGCGCAGTGAGTGGATGCGTGCACGTGTTTCGTTTTGGCCAAGTAATGTAAAATATTGCTTTAGTAAAATTTGGTTTTTCGTATCAGTTATTAATTAATTTAAAACTTTTTAGTTTTGTATGTAGTTCAAAAATTACTCAGCTTTGATATTCCTTACACATTTTGACGCTAAACCACCTAATTTTTTCGAAATGTAATTAAATGTAGGAAATTGTGCTACGGGGCATGTTGTAACAATATGTTTGGGGCAAGTTGTAACATGTTACAACTTATCCCAAATTCACTTCTACAAATCTCGTCCCTAGCATACGAAAAGAGAGCCAAAACTTTGACCTATACCTTATATCGCTTTTCAGATATGAGTATATTAAGAAAAAGGAAGACAAAACTCAAATCTTTAATGTTGACTCTTTTTCTGAAAGTTTATTTCAGTTTTACTGAAAAAAAATTGTATGTAATGAAGTGTTGTGTTGATTTTTGAAAAATAAAGTCTAAATATGTATCAACATCAGCTTTATTTTTATTGTTACTACCTGTCTGATGGCTGTTACAACTAGCCCCAACCACAAGTTGTAACAACGCACTTTTTTTAAGAAAATGCCTGGTGTGAAGTGAAAATGAACAATTTTGAACTTTTGCCTGTTCAGTCCAATAGGGGAATAGACTACCGATAGATACTTTTATAATGGTCAAACTGCTAATAGACATTTTTTGAACAACTGCCGAAGCTTCATTGTATTTAAAAAAATTTTCTCTTTTCTATTACTGGAGAAAAATGTTAATGCAATAAACTTGGAATTAACGTTGTAGCGTGAACATTTTCGATAAACAAAACACACTCAAATATTTACGCATATAATCACATAACCTTTAAAACGTTAAACTCCATATTTCATTCTTGAAAAAGTTAAATCATTATTTCTGAGTTTCCCTTTTCCTGTGTAAATATACCCCGTATTCCGTACGTACAATCTGCTTAAATCGTTAAATCACCATTTTTTGTAAAAGCAACAATTAGGAAAACCAGATTAAAAATAAACGTACAGAGTGTGATGCATAAAAATTTCAAAACATCTAAAGAACAAAACCATCACATAATACTATTTTATAACGACAAAACATCAAGGTGGTGTTTTATCACCTACTAAAGTGCATTTTATTGAGCTGTATAAGTTATCCATTGTGCAGTTTAATTTACCAATTGTGTTTCGTGGAATTTTCCGTAACACGTCAGCCACCAATTTTTTATCAATGGCAAATTTTCGTCAAATTTTATGCTTGAAAATTAATGCTGAATTAAAACATGAATTTTAGAAGTTTTCCTGCATTTAAAACAGTTTTTACATGATCAAAATAAAATCAGCGGCTTTTTATTTTTTAAAAATGTTTATAATTTTACTGAAAACGTTCAGCAGAGGTACACGCCAAGTCTCAGCGACTTTTTCTCCAAACTTCTTTGTTTCATAATTCACGCCGAACGTCAAACGTATTTCAAACTTACGCTTGTACCTTGTCGTAAATCTTACACCATCAAGTTTCCTATTTAAAAATGTATGAAGCTATAAGGAGTATTTTATTATCTTCATCCAGTCGTGAACAAAACTTTATTTCCAGCCGTCAACCTAAAAAACTGAAGGGTCTGAAGGGAAGTTCCCACGGGTTTATCAGATACAGTCAGTTGTTACACCTCTGAACACTTATTAATTACCTAGTGAATCTGTTTTACAAACCAAATTGTTCATATAATAGCACTTAATTCCTTTACAGGTGATGATTTTGATTACTGGATCCCATAAAGCATTTGCTTTGTACAAGGCCATTGAGGAAGGGGTCAATCACATGTGGACTATATCCGCATTTCAGCTTCATCCAAACACGTTGATGGTTTGTGACGAAGATGCTACTTTAGAATTGAAAGTAAAAACGGTGAAATATTTCAAAGTATACATACATCATTTGCTGAGTTGTGAGGCCTTGACAAAAATGTTTTGATTGCAGAATTTAAATCCACATGAACTTATCAACAGTGACAGCAACGCTAGTATCAAAAGTTGAAGACACACAGAAAAATATAATAGAGTAAAGAATATTTTAAAGAATGGAATTTTGTAGAACAGATGGACGACGTAAGAAGTCAAGCGTGAACATCTTGTTTACTAGAATTTTAGAGAAAAAATCAAGGAAATAAAAAATAACCACCGAAGCACATATTTATTTATTATTATAACAAACGCAAGAGTTCCTGCAGATTTCAGTTATATTGCAGTATTTTCGGAATGAAATAATTAGATATGCTAGAGTCTTTAATTCATTATTGTCTATTACAGACAATCACATAATTTTGTGAATTTAATGATTTAATTGGAACTGCGATATTGGTTCACAGTTGTTCGGTTTACCAGCAGAATTCACTTAAGAATTTAGATCTCATTGACCTGATTCTGCATAAATGGTAGTTGCTAGTTACAAACAGTGCGAATTCGATATTCCATAATCGAGAAGCAATTAGTCATATTTTTTCATCATAGATTAACTAATTGCTCAGCTTTTTACTATTGCTAAATAAGCAATCACATTCTGTATTTTTCCCTTCAAGAATTTATTTTTTTTAAATTATATATGTTTACTCGCTCGGCGTAACATTTATGTCAATCTCTGGTGCACTTTATAAGGAAAGTACATAAAACGAAAGCAAAGAAGGTAATCACATTAAATCCTGACCTTATAAGGCGGTATTACCAACTTCAAAGTCCACTTGCGATGATTTTGGGTAAAAGTTATTTGAGTAGTTGGGTTCAATTTTTACTTGTGATTGTTTAAGGTTCTATCACGCCTAACCTTAAGAGTACCGCACACACTGCACCTTATCAAGAACATTAACATGTAGTTATTGTTTGAAGAATTGCTGTTATTGTTGTTTGAGCGATAAAAAATTGACCTACATACAAAGTTATTTTAATTACAAATTTCAAGATAGGAATAAGTAATTCGCTTAATTGCTTTCAAAAACGGTGCTTTTGATATATGTGGGTACAGTTTTTTTTACAACAGGTTGTGAGTCACAGCTGTGACGTTTTTACATCCACATTTAGACAAGTCTGACTTCAGATGTATGTACTAGTCATGAGTGGGTTAGTGGGATGATGTTTGTATCTTTGAATTATGACATAATTTCCACCATTTGTAATGAGTGAGTGAGACTGTTTAACAAATAGAATACACAATTTATTATGGCGATTTTATTTATTAAAAAAAAAAAAATACATCAACACCAACTGACTGAGTGTAAATGAAAAATTATTTACACTCAGTCAGTTGGTGTTGATGTATTTTTTTTTTCAGGTAAATAAATCTGTGGACATTTTTTATGTTTCTTGTAATGTCAAGTTTCTGACAACTGTATAATCAGCGGTGCTCCAAATGTGGTGCACTAAAATTTGTCTGTTGGCATAATTATATTCTCCCAGACCCTAGATGTAAACGTCAACGTCAAATAATGAAATTAATGATACAATTAATACAAGAATACGTCAATATTTGGTGAAGAAGTTATTAAATATTATCTATTCAGGCTATTTTTTTAAAGCCATTCAAAATACAAAAAAAGTGCCAGTTAATTAAAGAACACCAATATACTGATGTTGATTTATAAATAAATGCCAAAGTCTTTAAGTTTTGCCCCTATTTATATTTAATCGTGTTATTATTTTGTTGGTTTTAGAGAAAACCAGTCTATATAATTCACAGAAAGCAAGTTTATGACACTGCTGACATTTCTGCCTCACAGAACGTCGATCTCCCGTTTCCGCCAGTCTGTCGTCTGCTGTTGGTAATTTCATCAAATATGTAATCCTCGAAATTACTAGATAGTAATATTAATTATATAAAATAACTAAACCTAACACATAAGTCTTCTTTTTCCAAAAAGAAACTGACAATATGTTCAATTAACTATCCTGTTGTTGAAAGAAAACTCTACATATTAAAAAAAAAAAAAAACAAAAATTATGCCCCATCCACCCGTCCCAATCTCAACTGTGATGAGTTTTTGATTCCATCAGACTGAAAGGCGGAGTTTAATTGTAACGTCAATATTTCTCTAAAAAAATCTACCCTTTTAAAAACATATTTCATATGGTAATTTTTTGTAGAGAAATGTGGATTTTGCAACTAAACTCCGCCCTTCAGCTCATGATGAATAAAATATTCATCACAATTGAGAAGGGATGGATGGGCGGGTCATATATTTTGTCCATTTTTTGTTAATCTAGGAAGTCTTCTTTTCCCAGCAAGAAACTGAACACATGTTTAACTATCCTGTTGTTGCAAGAAAATTCTGTATATTAAAAAAAAAAAAAACAAAAATTAAACCCCCACCCACCCATCTCTATTGTGATGGGGCGAAATTTGGCCAGGTTTCTATTCTACCATGTAATCTCCAATAAAAGACAAAGAACAAGCTAAATATGTACATTATAATAAAAAACGAAAAAAAAAAGAAAAAAAAATAGAATAAAGCAAAATGGGGAAATGAAAAAAAATCGATTGCTATAAAAATTCTGGGTGTATTTTAAGACCACCGTGCAGATGGTCAAACTATAACCAAAATTTACGAACTTGAATGATATTTAATTTTTATGCCCTTTTTTTAACCTAGATCACAAAATATTTGAAAAAAAAAATTTCAACGATCACATAGTCGCTAATCGAAATTTCTGTTCGTTCCATTTAAAAACTTGATCTCAAAATTTTACTAAATATTGCATCTACAGTGGCGGTATATTAGTGCAGATATTTTTTCAATTCAAAATTTAAAACTTTACAACAAAATTTTACAATTTAGTTTAGAAAATATGTACTTCGAGGTTGTTGTTGATCTGATACGTCGACAACCAAAATTTGTCTCGCGCCTCCACCGAAATTTTTATTTTAAAATAAAATTTGGAAACATAGCTCTTATAAGTTATATAAAAAAGTAGGAATTATTGTTATTATTAATGCGACAAATTGGACAGAGGGTTCCCCCTAATGTTTGTGTTTTAGTGGCGAGGAAGGTCCTATTTAATAAGACCAATGTTTAAAGACCTCCAGGTGAAATTCAAGAATGATTTTTGGATAAATACATGTGGTTTCATGTTACTACATCTAACAAAATTTTAACAATTTAATGACGTCTGTTGAACATTTCTTTTTAGTAAACGTCATTTAAATTTAATGAAATAACATACTCTCGTACTAGTGATTTATGAATCTGCCTTGATTTTTTACCACAGACATTCAAATTTTAGCAAAAAACCCAAATTGACATAATGACTTGTAACGCGAAGTCCGGACGTTCGAACTGCTCATGGGGCTTTGTTTTTTTTTTGTTTTTTCTTAAACTGTTACTGGTATTATCTAGATGTTTTTAACCCTCGGCATAAAAAGAAGGGTGTTATAACTCTGAAACCTTTGTTTATCTCCGGCATTGTAACTCCCAAACGAATGAATCGATTTCAATGCGTTTTTTTTTGGGGTTTGAAAGCTGGTTTAATCGGGATGTTTGTTTTATAATTTTGATTTTTTTTCCAAAAATCTGGACGTTTTGGATAAAAACTCAACACGGCACCATGAACTACATGTGAAGGACTATGTTATTTTATACAGTTAAAACCCATTTACTACATATATACAATTTTGAAGTGACGCCATCACATTATGGAGATGATTAAACAAAATTTGATAACAATCGGCGTAGTATTTTCGGAGGTTATCTATCTAATAAAACTCCGGGACGGCAGACAGACGGATAGACGGACAGACGAAAACGGGAGATCTATTTCTTCGTACTATAGAGGTCATGAGAGGTCGAGAAAACGTAAAAGAAGAGAGTCGGTCGACGGGCTGGATTACAATACTTCCTTCATTTTGCTAATTGATTAAAACAAATACATACTTAAAATTCGTGACACACGTGTTACTCTTCATTAAAGTATAGTGAACCAAAAGTTATAAGGTTATATGGCCATCATAAAAGTAGTTGACCGCAAATAAATACCCCCTTTGTGTGGTTCGCACTAAGCTTACCGGTTGGCAATAAATCATCTTCTAAACATTTCTTGCTCAATTTAACAGGGCCGGCTTTCAAAGCGAGTGGTTATTTCGGAACCCTCAGCGGCTGCAGGTAGTAAAGAAATAGTGGAGTGGTGGATTTTCATATTTAGTGAAAGCCGCCCCTGAACGAAACCAGAAGAGCCGGTCGAGCTGCAGTGGACACGTTATTTACGACCCTAAAACCTTTTCTATTGTAAACAACTTAACTTCGACACAATGGGATGATTTTATGATGGCCATATAACCTTATAACTCTTGGTTCACTATAACCAAGTTGATTTTTTTTTTGGAGCACAAAAATATACAAAAGCATACAAATATGTGATATTTGTAACTATAAACTAATTAAAAAAATAAATTTATAGTAGTCATATATTACTTTTAAATTCTCTCATATATCACTTAAACGTTCACGCTTAAACCATTGTATAGTGCTGCAACTGCTGGTTCGTTTTTATGACTGCATCCTATTGTGAAGGAGTTAAGTGTTCCACAATAGGCCTCTGCCGCAGCTAATCTAGCGGTTATAAACCATCAAGGGACCAACTGTCTACACTACACAGGGCCGTATGCGCCTCTAAACCTTTAAGATGATTTATGGCGCGGCTATTTACATTTTCAATAGAGTTCCTAATACTTGCGGTCATTAAGATTCCAGTGCCATAAAAACGAACTCAGAGTTGGACCACTATACCATTTTCAATCACTGTTAAAATATATTTGTTATTCCATATTTTTGCTTCCAAGCTATATCAATAAATATGAATATCACGTATATGAGTATAACCTAATATTTAGCGTTTAAATAAAAAGACAATTGTTAAATTAATACAAGAAAAAAGTCTCACAAGTTAATATCAAAAGTGGCTGTCAATAGCTTTGCAACGCATAAATATCAATTCTCGAAAAACGGTTCACGATATAAATTCAAACGTAAGTGGCACGGTCGTTCAAATTTTAATGCTACACTTCACTCTATTCTCCCATCTCACTTTGCTCTGTTTTCCCCTAGTAATATATTCTCGGCGTTTCCGCGTTTTATTCGGTCACAGTATATGAAAATTTTATGTTACAGACAATCTGAACCGAGTATTTTAAAATTTTAAATCTAATCGTGAATCTGTTAGTTTATCTTCAAAAATTCGATCGCGTCATGTCAAATTAATAAATTTAGTGTGTTCGTTTATCATGTAATTAAATAATCATTTAACGAATGATAAATTTTCAAATTTACGGATACAAAAAAATATGGGTGGAATTTACTATCATTTGTTTCGTGACCGGACTCGTGAGAGTAATTTTCAAGTCGCCCACAGACTCGCGTCCGCGCTGCATTTTGTAACGGTGAGCCAAAAGTTTAATCACTCCGACGCAAGGTTCAGGTGCACAACAAGTAGTTGAAAGTGCACAGTGTATTTGATTTGTTATTCCAGTGCAAAATTACAGTCCTAAAATTTTTCAGAACTTTTGCTATCGTTTAACTAAACGTGCACTCCCAAATGTGGTCAGTGTAACATTGATTCAGAGATTACAAAACAATAACTGAAATTAATTAATTCGGAAAATTGATGACGCATTCTTGAAAAATTAGACAATGAGTCTCTCGGTTTATCTATGAACTGATTTTTTTTATCGAATATTGGTGATCACATCATCTAAAAAAGTTTTATCGTAATTTTTTACCTATTCGTCGATTTGTTTAACCATCGTTCTATACATAACAATTGATCCAGACAGACAGACTGAAACGCGGGACATACTTTTTCATACTCTGGAGGTCGTAAAACGTCGAGAAAATCTAAAATTAACCAATACACTAGGGAAGTAATAACTACTAATTTCGTTTCTTAACAGAGAATTATAAGTACTTAATTGTGCAGAATACAACATGAATGGTTAATTTAATCAAAATCAGCCTTAAGTAAGTATTCTCTGTTATTTCACACGAAGTCGAAAATTAAACCGGACGTTCCGCTGCAACAACCACGAAATCTCTGAACACTAATCCAAAGTTCGTTATTTTTATTCAGTGGAAAAGCTCCTCAGATCAAGCAACATTCAAAAAACCTGCCGAACCTTCCCGCCAATGAAATGACCCGCCGACACTTCAACCTTCAAGTATACGCCAATGATAAGAAACCTGTTTCGAGAAAACACTCCCAGAAATTTCAACGTTTGATCGAGCTTGTGTACCTCTGAATACCGGCAAACAACCGCCAGAGAGGGGACGTGGCATACGCATACTCGTTGGACTTCGTTCTTCTCTATTACTATAGCTGTTTCCGTTCTACGGTGCAAACGAAAGTATCGGCACTTCGCAGTCGATAGCAAAAGTGGTTTTGTGTGTGTTTTGAATTCAAAAAAATGGCTACTAACAGAGCAACCAAAAGCGGATTTGCTGCCGAAGCACAAAGAAAGGTAATACTTAGATAGTTGGTATTTTTTACAAAATAGTGCTTAAGAAACCTCGTTCGGTGGTAAGAGTGAGCAGGTGGTTGTTTACACCACACCTTGTTGTAGCGAGTCACTTCTCTATTGTCTGGGATCATTTCTACGAACACAGAAAATTCAGTAACTTGAAATGTTGATGAACTCACAATGCGCTGGATTCATAAATTAAAATGATCCACGTATAAGCGGGGCTTTATCTTTTTGCAGGCTTATTTATTTATCGTTGTTAATTCTATTTATCTTAAAATGATTGCGAATGCAGACGATTTTGTTCGGTTTGTCACACAACAGTTGCAGAATTTTTAATCGTGCTAACTCCGGGCCAAATTTCGCTACTGCCCTGGACAAGATGTAGGTCAGGAAGAAAATCAATATGAACAGTGTTAAGATGCAGTGATTAAGAATCGAGTAACTATGCAGATAAGATTCATTTTATGCACCGGCTGACCTTTGTATGCATTAAGTGTGGAATGTGGTGCGAAATAACTTTCCAAAAAACAATTTCACTTTGGAATTTGAATTTGGAATAGTTTGTAGTGCTTCAATAGCTGTGGGAACTCTTGCCTGAGTGGCTGCTGTCACATCTATAAATAGTGAGATACGATGATGGATGAATTTTATTTGATAAATAAAACCGCAAAAAGTTAATGGAGTTTCATGGAAATGAAGAAGAAAAAAAGAGATAAATGGATCAAGTAAATACTTAGTGCGATATATGAAGATGGACATTGATTGTTCCAGCTAATAAACGTCTGCGCTCCAATTAACACTACTGCAGGGACAGTGGATGATAATAAATACTTCAAACGATTTAATTTGTAACATTCATATATGGTACCTAGTTGCCACTTTTTAAGGTACCAACTGAACGGTTGTGCACCAGCCACTAATCCAGCTAAATGAGCAGATTGAGTACTCTTATCGATTGTGGATAACTCAATCCGACAAATACCTCCAATACCATACACGCACAAACAATGAGACTCCATGAACACGAATTTTAATGGAATAATTCATAGCTTTGTGTTCGTGACACAGCTTGCTCAACAGTTGTAGCCTCGAGAGATAAAAATTGGAATTGCTTTAAGCTAAATCAGCAACAGAGTTTGTCGTGTACCGATACCGACACAAATGCATCAACGGAAACCCTCATTAACCAAAAGATAAGAAAAGGGAAGTAGGAAACTGTTTAATTAAAATACTCATCGCGTGGACGTTGAATGTCAAGTGTTTCCTGATTGAATAACAAAATAGCTGGAATCCGACAGGACTCACATTACATGGTAAAACCATGCCATATGGTGAATGTTACCATATAAGGAGTTGATTCAGCAAATAGGTTTACTGTAGTGCTAGACATTGCGTAAGAATTTCCTTTTTTTGCATTCGATTTATCATACTTGATATTTCAATACAAAAAGAAGAAAGCTGGAGGCTGCAGGAATCCAGTCGGAGTGCATACCGCAAGACTTGAGACCTTCTGGTGCATCACTCTTTTTGTGTCATGGTCTTTAAGATAACGCTAGAGTTCACTGAAGATTACCATGCCAGTAATGATAACCGTTATGAGTCATGCAACTGCTTTAATTTGTTTGAACAGATACTGTTAATGTTAATTGGCAGATGGCAACTACGGTAACTTGAAAAGACTAAGACTATTTGCAATTACTGACATTTTTATAAATAGCTTTGTTGCTGCACTGTTGTTAACCACAGCAGGATATGGTGTGAAGTCTTAAGATTTTGAAACGTGCTTGTGGCACGTGCAATAAATGGATTTAACACATGTTATGCTCAGTTTTTGCTTCGGAATAATCACGAAATGATTCAGACTCGAAAGTGCACCTACACATTTAACAAATGTAACTTTACTTCTTTTGTAATTAATGCACAGAACATTCAAGAATTCGTATTCTAGAAGAGCCGGTTGGAGATAAAAAAATATTTGTGGTTATACCGACCTAAATTATCTAAGCAACATTTTTGTACTTGATTATTTTCATTGTTGCAAGGAAAGTGTCAATTTTGCGATTCTGTTATTGCCACTTTTAAGTGCCCATTTAATTTAATTTAAATGACATTTCAATAATCAGTAGGTAACAAATTTTGATTTAAATTAAATTCCATCGTCAGTCATGTCACTTTTGACAACAAGAAGTAAGGTGGGGTGACAGGTCTACCAATTTTAAGCAACATTTGTTGATACCAACTCAAACAATAATTCTTGATCGCACTGTATTTATTTCACTCCGAAAATCTCCCAGGATTAAATTCAAAAAAATAATTTTTAATCTGAAATTGTTCTTATTTTTTTTATGTTCGAATGGTAGGTGTAGGTGGTGTAGGTATTAAGTAATATTGACGAAATAGTTTAACTGTACTAACAACCATGAGTCTACTTCATTAATTCCCAGTTTTGCGTACAATTAAAAAATCTGTTTAAAGTAGAGGTCCCCTACAAATTAAAAACGTTTTATTTACAACGGTATAAAATTGCGCCATCTAAAAGCTTATAAAATTTTATTTTGATTACCAATCTATCAGATGACGAAATCGCGTAAAAAATATGTCCAATGTAAAAATAATAAGTTCGGTTTGTGGAAAATTATCGAAGCCGGAACCTTCAATAAAATATGACTTAATAGACATTTTTATTTCAGTTTGAAGCTTAAAAACTGTAGGCGGTCTATAATAACAGGGAATAACTAACAATGTGGCAACAAATCGGTACTGTACGGTTATAACAATCTTTGGTTGTGTGGACCATGACTTCACGCCAATTTGAAATACAATTTCGCATTGAATAATTCACTCAAAATAGCTAGCGCTTGTCCTTTAGTCCTTTACGAGTCATTCTGTGTCGATGAGTTCAGGTTCTGCTCCTAGAGGTGAGGACTTAGTACTTAAATATAATTTTTCGCAGCCACTTTTGAATTAAGAAATAAGTTCTAGTGATAAATAATACTTATAGTAACCAAGTATAGACAGAACGAAGGTAAGGATTTAATTATGTCAAAAGTGGCATTTACTGAATTATTACCTGTTATTTTTGACATGTGGAGTGACAGTCAGGTATTCCAGCTGTTAGTTATAATATTCCCCTATGTGATAGGGGAGCTTATTTAGTGAACAGAATGCAACAGGTGGTAGGCTTTTGAAAAAAAACACACTTTAAGCTTCCAAAACTTGCACAAAAAAAGTTACGTATTCATACCAACCGAAAAAAATTAATGCGGAAAAATTAATAGAAGAAACAACACCCACTTAAAAAAATAATATTTGTGGGCAGTGTCTGTATGCATACTAAAATCTAGATTTACTAGTAGACGAATCTGTTGAATAGCCATTGTTCTCCTTGTAACAGATTCAAGTCACTAACTTATTGTGTGTGGTTAATATTCGAGACGATAAAGTGATAGAAATAATCACAATATATTATTTGTTCATTATTTTACAATAACTCTACATAAAGTAGCAAAAAAGACGATTTTGCAGTACTTTGAAGTACTTTTCCCACGCCGCCTTAATTATAAGCCCATTTATTGTTCGCAACGGTCTAGAAAATTCACCTTGTCTCTACCATACTTGATGGTATCCTCCATCAATTTAATTCAAGTCTAGCAGCCGCTCAGGTGACTCATCATGACGCAATCTTAACGAACACTCAGGAACGTACAACGGAAATTTAAAAAAAAATCAGTCACCATGTATAGAGTGAATGGAATTTTTTGGAAAAAGATTGTGTCACTGATGTAAATATAGCTTACTAGAAGATTATCAAATAGTTTAGTTACTATGTACCATGAAACCGTATCACTTTCAGTCTTCGGCGATAATAATGTTTATTATATTGTTAATAATATTTGGTTAGAAAATTAAATATTTGACAACCATTCGAAATGCATTCGGATGGACATATATGGTTGTATATTTAACTATATCTAATGATTTGAAGATTATGCCGTGCTGTTCATAGGACATATCAATGGACACCGAAGTTATTTGTAATAATCGGTTATTTACTTTCTTTCAGTATTGTGTTCATGATTATATTTAGGCTTACTAGTTTCGAAATTTGATTACATAATAAGTAAACTGAGTATTTCAACGTACATTGGCTTGATGTTTTGCCTTAACCTGTCTGTGTAAGGTTAAACCTCACAAGCTTTCATTATTCTGAATAACACACTGTCGGAAAAAATCAGCACTGAACTTAAATTTTGAGTATAAAGTGCAAAATTCTGTATGGAGTGTTTAGTTGAAATCAAGAGGGAAATGTTACTTCACTGAACTATTCAAGAAGTTCTGTTCGAAAGTGTAGATTTATATCGATACCTTTGCACAGTATCGTGTTCTCGTTTCACTTTCATCGTGCGTTTCTCATATTAAAGTGGATAATTCTTAGTCTTAAGTATATTTTTAATTAATTTTTACTGATTAGGCAGTTAAATACTTTTTGTCTTACCTTCAAGATTTGAACGATAAGATATTTGATAAGCTAGTTGATTGATTGATTATTATTACATTTGACAGTATAATTTAATTTAATGGTCACTTAAGAGCTTATATTTTAATTTTCGGATAAATATAAGATTTTAGACAAACATTAAATTAGATCACAGAATAACTAACGCCGCTGGCGGTACGACTATGACAACTTCCTCCCCTTTAGTTCTTAAGTGGACCTGTCCGGATGCGTTTACGTCTACTGTGACAATACTTTTTTCTGCGAACTCTTTTCACTATAATGGATATGTTATGCATATCACAAGATAAACGGCGCTACTGAAAGTCGAACTATTCAAGGTTACTTGATATGTATGTGGGAGTATTAATTTGCAACAATGTAAGAACGACAGTAGTAACTTTTGGATTCTTACTGTGGTACGACACATACAACAAAGTGGATCAGAAGTGTAATATAAAAAAAATCCTGTCAAAAAAGTTACTCAAATATGTACGAAAATAGAGGAGACGTATAGTCTACTAAGAATATTATGAGCACACAGCAATCGTTAATTTAATCTGATTAAGAAAAATATGTCTTACCAATATAATCAAACCTTTATTTCTCTTTATGTCTTTCGAAACGAAATTATTATTATCACGAGTTATGCAAAGTGTTGACATTATTGTGCAAAAATTTTCATAAGTAGCATATTACACGTCCATTTTTATACAAACCACTATGACGGGAGTAATGCTGTATTACGTACATTACTAAATGTTTACCAAGTTCGTGTGCAAGAGTAATGTATGTTGAATACTAACTGTCTCATTACCCACATACAGTGAAAGTAGACATCAATAAACAACCATTCGGTAATAGGACAAAGTCTAGTAAAAAAAAATTTTAAAACTGATACTTATTTTCTTAATGAATATATATTTTCTGTAGAAGTAGTGGACCCCGATTAATGCTGCTAAACACAGTTTCGTGTAGATCGGAGTAGTAGAGTTCGTGCGCAATTAATTATTTTAATGAAAATTAACTTATGAAATTACGTTGGTTGTAATTCTGTAATAAAATTATTTCCTGTAGGTTTTGTTGGGAGATACTAGGTCTTCGTATCACATAAATACTATTTACTGCTTTGGAAACGAGTGCAAAGACAAAAACTGAACCTCAAAGTGTGCCAAAAGAAAAAATAACAAAAAGACGGCAACATTTGTTATAAAATGTGCTTACTAAACTCAAATTTAGGCGAAAATAACTGTAATAAATTTTATGAGAAATAATAATTCTTGGGAAACTAGAAAAAGGGGGAAAAAATGCAAAAGTTACTGACTTAAAATTGAAAATTATTACTTGCACGGTTGTGATTGATTTCAATCGACGATTGTTTTATTTTATGCTTCGTCTCGGCTGTTTGTGACAGTTTATAATTAAAACTGTTCATTCTGTGAACATACTACAATGATGGGAGTGGCGTTAAATAAATGAATTATCGCTACATTAAAAAAAAACTTGAGTTTGAAATCACGCAACTGATAAAATCTTATATGTGCGTGTTAACTCCAAATCAATTGGTGTAAATGACTCTATTAAATTTCTAGGTGTCACTGTTTACAACCGACTTAGATGGCAACGACACATTCACAAGTCATTAGTAAATTAAATTTGGTATTATAGACACTCATTATTTTAGTGATTTTTGTCGTCCTACTATCTTTATTGTGAAAAAACCACATCCCTTTGATAATAATTTCAACAAATATAAAAGTAGTTCCCTTTTATATTTGTTTAGAAGCCTTATAATAAACTTCCGTCCATTATTGAAAAGATAAGTAATGTTAAATCCTGTGGAAAGGCGTTAAAAGGTTGCTTAGTAGAGCATATCCTCTATTAAATGAGTGTTTTAACTAGTAATTATTTTTTGCGACTGTGCATTATCGATAAGCCGTTTTTATTGCCCCTATTTTTTTTATATTAATAATATTGCAAATTATAACTTAAACAAAAAAAATTGTTGCAGGTAAACGCAAAATACAGCGAAGAACTGGCCCGTGAAAGTCTAGAATGGATAGCATCCATAACAGGCGATGGTATCAGCACTGCCGGCGACATGGACAACTTCTATGAAGTATTAAAAGATGGGCAACTCTTGTGCAAGTACGTATTCAGTTGTGATGAATGTCTGACGTAACATTTCCTTTTACGATAATAGTTATATCCACAATGAGATCATGATTTATTTAAAATAAACAAACATAGGTACATTCAACGAACTCGTCGCCTTATCATTCACCTTTTACAGACTGGTTAATACTATCAAACCGTCAATTGTGAAAAAAGTCAATAGTAGTCAGATGGCCTTCAAATGTATGGAAAATATCAACGCCTTCCTGGAAGCTGCGAGAGAGCTGGGTGTTCCCGCGCAGGAAACTTTCCAAACGGTTGATCTTTGGGAGAGGCAAAATCTGAATTCTGTCGTTATCTGTTTGCAGTCTTTGGGGAGAAAGGTATGCTCGCCTACCTAAATGATTTTATTTTCTAATTAACTTTTTTTTTCAAGGCTGGCAACTACGGCAAGCCATCAATAGGACCAAAAGAGGCCGAGAAAAACGAAAGATTGTTCTCAGAGGAGAAGCTAAAGGCGGGCCAGACTATTATTGGGCTTCAGATGGGAAGCAATAAGGGGGCCAACCAATCCGGCATCAATTTTGGAAACACAAGGCACATGTAAAGACGTCTCTTCGTATTGTAATTAGGTTTATACTCTTATTTAGGTTTGATTTTCTATTATAAATTCGCACGAAGTGCCAATTTATTAGAGAGACACTATATAAAAGTAAAGGTCAGAAAAAAGTTGATTTTTTTGAGAGGACATGTTTATTTAAAAATTATTTTTTTAGGCTGTTTGTAGATTAAGATACCTATTTATTATTGTAACAACGACCAATAACTTCTATATTCTCTAATAAAAAGATTACTTACACGTTGTCACAGTCTATGCTTTCCATTTCCAGTATTTCTTCCATGTCCACCTGAAAAAAAGATATATTAGTATAACGTCGGTTATACATAAAACAGGGGGTGTTCTATAGTTGAAAAAATAGATATGAATGTTTCTCCTGGTGTGATTTTTTGTGGACCTTGTTACTATTACGACAAATTGGCCAAAGGTGATTTCTTAACTTCCCTCGCCCCTGAAGTGGAGTTCAACAAATCCCGCTTCTTTGAAAAATTATAAATATCTGATAACCTCTATAAAGTAAAAACCAGTGACGTATCCCGCTTCCGCGGGATTTTGGATGTGAATTTTTCAGTTCAATTTTTCATTTTTTTGTTTCTTCAGTTTTTCGATTTACAATTTTTCGAGTTAGGATTTTTAGTTTTTCAATTTTCCAACTTTTGAATTTTTAGATTTTGCAATTTTTCGATTTGAGTTTCTCAAGTTTTCAATTTTTTTCGTTTCGGCTTTTATTTTCTTTATTTTTTCAGTGATACGTTTTTTTAATGTTTCGATTTTATAATTTTTTGTTTTTCAATTTATTTTTAAAGTCATAAGCATGGTAAATTTTTGATCAAAATGTATTTGCTGACGCCCCCCCCAAAAATTGATGACGTTACCTCAAAATATAGCTGAATAAATCCTATCTTAAATGTACAAAATATGGTGAGTTTATACTTGTGATTTATCACTGCATTAATATTTTTTAGATTGTGTCTAAAAAAATAATGACTGAATCAGTTTATTTTATTGATTTAGTCAAGAATTGCAAAGCTGAATACTTTGAAATCTTGCAAACGTTTTGAAGTTATTGTAAGCATGGTAACTTTTTAGTCAAAATGTACAACTTTCGACCAATTTTTTGATTTATCGATTGATCAATTTTTGGGTTTTGGGATTTTTCGGTTATTAAATTTCTCGATTTTACCAATTTTTCATTTTTTGATTACTTTATTTTTCGATTTCTCTATTTTCCGATATTTCAGTTTTACGATTTTTCTATTTTTCTATTCTTCTGTTTCTCGATTTTTAATTTTCGGATTGTTTAATATTCCAGCGTTTGGTGTTTCTAAATTTTCTAATTTTCTATCAACCGATTTTTCGATTTCTTGATTTTTCGACTTTTCGATTCCTCGATTTTTCGACTTCTCGACTTTAGAGGTTTTGATTTTTCATTTCTCAATTGCGCAATCTTTCCTTGTTTCCTTGTTTCGGTGTCTCGACTTCTCAGTTTTTCCATTTTCATATTTTCGATTGTTTCTCGACTTTTCGTTTTCTCGATTTTTTAATTTTCCCCTATCTCAGTTTTTCTATGTCCCAGTTTTGAGGTTTTTCAGTTTCCTATTCTTCTATTATTTTTATTCCATTTTAAAATTTTTCGATATTCAAGTTTTTGGTGTTTCTAAATTTTCATTCGACTTTCCATTTCTAACTCTTCTCGACTTTTCGAATTTTCGATATTTTGATCTTCCCATTCCTCGATTGCCCAATTTTTCGGTTTTTCGATGTTTCGGCTCCTCGACCTTTTGACTATATTAGATTTTTCGATTTTTGGATATTTTGATTTCTCGATTTTGCAATTTTTTGACATTTTAGTTATTCTTTTTCAATTTTAGAATTTTTCAAGTTTTGGGTTTTGGGATTTTTCAATTTTTCGTTTATTAAATTTCCCGATTTTTCCAATTTTTCGTATATTAAATTTCCCGATTTTTCCAATTTTTCATTTCTCGATTATTTTATTTTTCGATTCTTCAATTTCTCGATTTTTAAATATTTCGATTGTTTAATATTACAGCGTTTGATGTTTCTAAATTTTCTAATTTATCTATCAATCGATTTTTTGTTTTTCGATTCCTCGATTTTTCGACTTCTCGATTTTTTGACTTTGGAGTTTTGATTTTTCGATATTTTCAATTTCTCCTTTCTCGATTGCTCAATTTTTCCGTGTTTCGGTGTCTCGAGTTCTGTTTTTCAATTTTCATATTTTCCATTGTTTCTCGACTTTTCGATCTCTCGATTTTTTTAATTTTCCCCTATTTCAGTTTTTTAATGTCCAAGTTTTGAGATTTTTCACTTTTCTATTCAATTTTTCTTCGATATTCGAGTTTTAGGATTTTTTAATTTTCGAATCTTCAATTTTTCGATCTTTTAATATTCCAGTTTTTGGTGTTTCTAAATTTTCGATCATTTGATCTTCCTAGATTGCTCAATTTTTCGATTTTTGGATATTTTGATTCTCCCATTGCTGAATTTTTCATGGCTTTTCACTTTCGCGATTTCTCGATTTTTCCATTTTCGATTCTTCCTCGACTTTTTGATTTCTCGACATCTTAGTTTTTCTTTTTCAATTTTTCGATTTATCGATTGATCAATTTTTGGAGATCGAATTTTGAGATTTCTCATTTCTTATGATTCTTCAATTTTTTGTTATGTTGATTTCTTCGATTTCTCGTATTTTGATTTTACGGTTTTCGATGTTTCAATTTTTCTATTTTTCAGTTTTATCATTTTTTGATTTTTCGACTTAAAAACGAAAGAGCGAAAAAACTGAAAAACGAAAAGTAAAAAAATTGAAAACTTGAACATCAAAAAATCGAAAATCAAAGAAATTGAAAAGTCTAAGAACTGAAAAATGGAAACATTGGAAAATTGAAAATGCGAAAATTTGAAAGTTTGAAAAATCGAAGAATTAAAAACTGAAAGTCGAAAAATCGAAAAGGAGATAAATTGAAAATTCGAAAATTCAACGAAATAGATCAGGTCAAGTCACGTCGAAATTAAAAAAATTCGAATATTGGAAGACCGAAAACTTGATAAATGGAAAAATCGAAATTTTGAAAATTGAAAATTTGCAATATCGAAAGGCCGAAAAGTCGAAAAATCGAAGAAACATTCAAAAACTGAAACGTCGAGAAATCGAAAAAATAGAGGAATCCGCAAATGTAAAAATTCCCAAAACAGAAGTGCCGAAAAGTTGAGAAATCGAAAACTTGGAAAATCGAAAAAAATCGTAAAATGGAAAAATTGAAAACTCGATAAATGGGAAATTTAAAAAAACGAAAAATTCAAAAATCAAAAAACGAGAAATCGAAAGATCTGAAATTAAAAAAAAAACGAATTGAATAATGGAAAAATTGAAAAATCGAAATGTCGAAAAATCGAACAAATGAAAAATTAAACCATGGAGAAATCGAATCATTAAAAGATCCAGAAAAAGTTGAATTCGACATGAGTTTTCAGGTTTCGATATTGAATTTTCAATGTTTCTGCTTTTCGATTTTTCGGAGTTTTTACTTTATAGAGGTAAAAAACAAAAATCTCAAATTCCATATGTTATTATTTAAATTTTCCAGTTTTTCGGTTTTCCAATTTTGGAAGTTTCACTTTTTAGATTTCGCAAGTTTTTATGTCTTCAGTTTTTCGGTTTTTGAATGTTTGTACTTTATGATTTTTTTTTCAATTCCAATTTTTGTATTTGTAATTTTTTGTTTTGGATTTTTATTTTCTTTTTTTTTGCAAAATTGAAAAATTTAAAAATCAGAAAATCGAGGAACTGTAAAATCAAAACGAAAAATTGTATATAAAACCGAGAAAATGAAAATGAAAAAATTCGGAAAATGCAGTTCTCGGAATAAATTACCTCCTTTTTTATTTTTTTTAGTCACTCTATAAGTAATTCTAAAAACTATGAGTGCACTGATAAACCACGAGTATAGAATCACAATGCTTTTGCATATTCAATGACGTCATCAATTTTTTGGGTACGGATAAACGAACAAATTTGATTAACGATTACCTTGATTACGATAATCTTAAAAGATTTTGCAAGATTTCAGACCATTCGGTTTTGCAGTGTTTCAAAGTTAAAGGGTAAAATGTTGTTATACAATTTTGATTTTTCTTCAAAAAAAAAAAAAAAAACTCAACAAGGATTCATACATCACAAGTGCACGTACAAAATTTGACAACAATCGGTCCAGTAGTTTCAAAGATTTTTTGTTTAATAAAAATTGATACACAGACGGAAACGGGATACCGCTTTTTCATACTCTAGAGTTCATATTTCTTAGTTTACCTACGCTCAGGAAGTAAAAATAAAGAAAATTGGAATAACTTGACATCGCATCGAAATTTCAAAAATGCATTAAAGTAGATATAGGCAATATAGAACATTAAATTAAAATACTTCATTCTTCACAACATTCAGGCCTTTTGAAACATTCTAATTATGCCACCTCATAAAACTTGTAAGGTTTGACTGAAGTAGTGAAATACTATATCTGTAATACAATCTCTATGGGCGAAAAAAAATATTCGCCTGCTGACATGGCACTCTTTAGAGACTCTTTCCCTCGCTACTTTTGTCCAACCTGCCAATTTTTGCATGGAAAAGTGTACATATATGGAATTACCGAATCGGGAATTTCTTCCTTCCTTTTCTTTTTAGACGCTAAATACTGCTGAATCGACTGGTAATCTTCTGGTTTACTGCAAAGATGTGAGGAGTCGACGTCAATATGTAAAATTTCAGGTATCATAAACGTCTTTAGCCACCCTACTAGAGGCGAGCGACCAAAAACGTAGTGCCCTTCTCGATGATAAAAAAGTATTCCATCAAAAGGTACTTTAGTGTCATTTACTATAAAAGGCATAAATAATTTATCTTGTACTATAGAACACTCAGCTGGTAAGTAGTCCATCACAACAAAATTAAAATTTTTCTGTGAATTTATTTCACACATTTCTGGATTTTCTTCAAATTTTGATTTAATCCAAAAAAATCTCATATGTGCCTGCAATAAATCTTATGTCAGTAAATGTAGACTATTTATTAATATCACATACCTCTGCATGAAGCAATGACACTGAATTCCAAGCAAGGACGTCATAAACGAACAAAGTATTCGTAGTTTTATTGTAAATGCAATCCAAGACAGTAAATTTATGTGCATATTCGTTATTTCCACCTGGAAGTTTGGATTTAAACTTAAAACTAATTCTGCCATTTCTGTAGTAACAGGTAGTAATTCCCTAAATAAAATTATTAAGAATTGAAAGCAACTACATATTTCTTACTTTATTTGCAACAACTAAATAACGGATTCCTTCAGGACACAACTTAATAATCCAATTTTCTTGAAAGTCATCTGGTACCTCCGTGAACCATTCAGAACCCATGAGTTTATAACCAAAAGGAACTTTTTTTCTACTCCGTCGTCTATTCGGAGCATCACACTCCATTAATTCTGGTCCCTCCTCTCCAAAAAAATGTACTAAGTCCCTTTTTTCGTCAAATGCTTGTTTCCTTTTTCTGTAATTGGTAGTTGGTTTAACCCAACAATTGTAACGAATTCACTGCTTACTCTTTTTGGTTTTGAAGAAATTCGTGTCTTTTCTTTTCAAGAGTGAAGGACATTGTCCTACCTGTGTACTTATAAATATCAGAAAAGGCCGACGTCGCATCGTTGCTCTCGTTTTCGTCATTTTGGACAAACCCATCTCTGAAAAAGTAAAGTTTTATACAACGTTATTGTAGAATTATTGATTAATCTACAAGTTTTCACCCATTTTGATAATTTAAGCGTGATTATAACACGGCATTACAAAATTTACATTAAGTACAAACACAAGTAACAGTGCACAACATAACCTGAATGCCTCCGGAACATTTGACACAGCTGTCACTATCACCATGGCAACCACGATCAGAGTTGCGCGGTTAATTTAAATGGGGGTGAGATTATTTACGAAATAATTCGAAAATCCGAAAGTTTCTTACCTGCATTAATGTTTGTTGTAATTTTTTGGTTAATACCTCGTTGTTGGTAAATATATTCAACGGTTTCCATGGTACACGTCGGTATCCATTTGTTTACCATCAAACATCAGTCAATCAATAACGAAATACAATACAAACAAACGAAGCGTGTTCTCATTTTCTGAATCCACTAATATTGAAAAAAAGATAATAAAATGGACTTCGGAGACGATCCTCTCGGTGACCTTTCCGATGGAAGCAACGACAGCTTTTTCGATGAACCCAAACGCAGCGGTAAGCGAGCAAGTCTGACCAAAACACCGGAAAAGAAGAAATCGGTCACTGATATCTTCAACCTTCCCGAAAAGTCAACTGAAAGTGCCCAACCACCAAAACGATCAGACGACTGGCTGGGTTTAGACACCAAAGAAACCAAATCTCCATCTCGTACTCAAAAACTAACGAAAAAAATCAGCTTCGAAGACGATGACGATCTTTTGGGAAATTTGGGTTTTAGCAAACGACCAGCAAGCCGGACTGAAGTGTCCACGGAAGAAAACAAACCAGCGAAAAAAATGGACTTGTTTGAAAGCATCTTGGGACCACCCAAAAATGAAGAATTGGACAAAAAAACGAGCTTTGAAGACATTCTTAAAGAAAGTAAAGCGAAAAGTGGATCTAAAAGTGAAGACGCTGCTAAGAAATCACCTTTTGATGATATTTTCAAAGATAGTAAAGCCAAAGGTCCTAGCGCTTCTGCTTCGTCAACGCCAAAACCAAGCCTTGGTGTGACAGATTCGTTACAGTTTAGTGACGGCCCGCGGGAAGGTCGAAGAGGAAGAAGAACTTCAGCAACTCTGATGGATCCTCTGGGTCTTTTTAGTAATGAGGCAAAACAAGAAGATTCAGCTACTGTTAAAGAAAAACCCTCCGCGACTGCCATGAATGAAACTTTTTCAACTAAAGCTGTTCATTCTAAGAGCACCCCCAACATCTCTAATCAAGGTAAGTTAAGATACCTATTTCTGTAGAATAAATAACCTTATGTTCATTCAGAACTTCCTGACTGGTTGGGTGGAACACCTATAAAACACAGCAAGTCTGAGAACGTATTAAACAAACATAGTGAAGAATCTAAACCAGCACCTGAACCTGTCCAAGTGGTTAGACAAGAGTCAGTTCAAAGTCTCAAACCAGCTGATACTAGTAATCTCGAAAATGAAGAAAGTCAAGTTGCTTTAAATTCTATTCTCACTCAACAGAAACTCGCTCATTCCCACATGGAGTATCAAAACACCGCAATCGCGATGCAGCAACAAGAAACACAACTATTAATGGCCCTCCAGTTGAAGAAATATGAAGAAAATTTATCTGAAATACAGTTTAAACAACAAGAAGTGTTAATGAAGCAAGAACAACAATTTAACATCCTGTTGGAAAGACAGTTTGCCAAACAACAAATAATGGAAAATAACATGCGTCTTCAACAAGAACGTATCAATAATCATATTCAGATGTTAATCGCACAACCACCTATTACAAAAAATTCAAGCCAGGAAGAAGTGAACGAACTGAAGAAGACAGCTAGTGAAGAAAGTGTGAAGTTATACGAGAATATAATAAGCTCATTGAAACAGAGACAACATGAGGAGATTTTTTTATTAGAAGAATCTTACAAGTTTGTGGTATCGTTTTTCAATACAGTACGACTAATATTTTTTTCAGGAAACAAATTTCTCTATTGGAACAAAGTCTGGAATCTGTGGAAAAACGACTGAAAACGGACGTCGAAAAAGTATCTGAAGCGTTTGAAGAAAAAATGAAACTTCTGCAACAGCAAAACAAAGACGAAATTGGCAAATACAAGCAAAAATTACAAGATGTGGAATCGCAGCATTTCGAAGAAATCAAACAAATAAGGGACAACTCCTCAAGGATTATTGAAGAAATTAAATACGAGCACTCAACTCTCCTTGAAAATATAAAAGATGCTAAGAAATCTGAATCAACCTTGTTTCAAGAAACGGGTTCCTATATTCAGAAACTAGACAGCAATATTGAAGTTTTGTATGCTAACAGTAAGAATCTAGTGGAGTTGAAAGACCATATTGAGAAGGATTATGGGGTATTGTCAAAGGCAAGAGAAGAGACTTTAAAAGCTAAGGAACAAGAAATAATACGTAATAACATGTTTTTCTATGATCCTGTTTCACATTTTCTTTTTAGTAATGAGAGCTACTTTAGAAAAGTGTCGAGAGGCTGCAGAAAAGGAAAGAGCTGAACTTCTAAGTTTGGTCAGAACCTTAGAAACCAAGATTGCTGAGCAGAATCAGAACACCCGTGAAGAAAGATGGGCTTTTCAGCAAGCAGCTAGTACTTTAGCTGCAAGATCAGCTGCTATGGACCGAGAATCAGAATTTAGTAGGGCGGCCCTTGAAAGAGAAAGGGAGCAGTTGAAAGTATAGTTGTTATTTTTAGGTTATAATGATAGTATTACAATCAACACCACTTTTTTAGACCCTGAAGGAATCAATTTTAGCAGAACAAGAAAAAATGTTCTTACAATTAACAGAAGAAAAATTACAACTCTCAGCTGAAAAATCGCGTCTGGAAACCTCCAGCAAACTCATGATGAATTACGATTCACAAAAAGCGAAATCCGAAATCGACGCAGCAATTCAAATAGCAAAAGAAGCTGCAGAAATGACCGACAAAGAAAGAGAGAGTCTTCATCGCGAAAAATGCGAAGTGGAAAAACTGAAACGAACTCTGCGAGATCATGAGCGAAAATTAAGCTTGAGAGAAAGTGAACTAGACAGCTTAATGCGGGACGCCGAACAAAAGAAAAGTGAGGGCGAAAAAGCGATTTTTGAATCAAAAACTATTGAAAGCAAATACAATGAAAGGTTGAGGGATTTGCAGAACCAGCTTGTGACGCTATCTAACAGAGAGAAGAAACTAGCCGAGGAAAAAATTGCGCTTTCTAAAGAACGTCTGGCGTTGAATACGATGGTTCGTCAGAATAAGAAGTGCAGTCTTTGTAATGCCGACCCTCAAAAACTCGAGGAAACTAAATTTAATATTAATTCGGTGAATTTGATTACGCCGTACTTTTCCAGGTTTGATAACGTGAGTAGGTTGGGGATGTTTTAGGATTATTTTAATGTTGCTTTTCCAAGCAGGTTGATGATGACATTATGCGTTTACGTTTAGAGGCAGTTGAGGAGTCTTCGTTAAATGTTGAAGAAAATGTGCCAATGTAACATGATACAATCAAGAATTCAGTGTTTTTAAAATTTTAATGTATTGGTTTGTACTTTTATAAAAAAATATATACATAAGAATATTCCAATCTAAATTTATTTTTAACTGTATAACAAACCTAGACACTTCTAGGCTGCACCTGTGTATAATCTTCATTAAGTACACAGATAAGAGTTTAATGTAGGCCGGTTTACTACTGACAATATATATAAAATATACAAATATCTATAAAATACTGGGAACAAGTAGCTTCTTTTAAATGACTTAATTTTACAAAAATATACATTTAACATTCAATAAATAAAATATCATTATCATTATTTAATTTCCAACAGAATTAAACATCGCATTACTTAAATTGCCAAGTTATTTGGTTCAAAATTGAACTAGTTCTATTTTGAGCCAAACTTACAAAAACGTTATAAAATCTTAGACATAAGTGAGTTTGGTTGTTAAAAGTTACAAGATCAACAATAAAAATTAACACTCTAGAGCGAGGCACTTGAATAAATTAATATAAAAATTAAATAATGCAATAGTAATGTAAGTAGCATTTCTAAAACATCATCCACCAATCACAGTGTCTAATCACATAATGGACGGACCATTGAGCTACTTATAACATTTATATACATTAGTTATAGTTATTAAAATTTATGTAATTATTCGCAACAGTTAAGACTAAACACATTTCATAGATTATATATACAGAGATTAACATTAAAATACAAATTATCTAATTTTTATTATCGACTATGTAGACCTATGTTTCACCTCAAGTAACTGTGGATAATTTTCCACAATATTGAGTAAAATCCCGTCGATATAGCACCTCAATTGTAAATTTACTTCCTGCTGTTCCTTCAGAGCTTGTTGGATCTGAAAAGTAAACACCATTTTTAACTGACCGCTCGGTTTATTATTACTATTATTATTAAAATAATAAATGTGAGAATTGCAAGCACAATACAGTGCAACTACTGACTCGGCTTATTATAAATCTATCTAAACTTATTTCAATGGTGCATACCTTAGCTACAGAATCGCAATCATGTGGAATGACAGGCTAAAAACAGAAAGACATTTATAAGCAACCAGCAACCCAATATAAAGCAATCAAAATCACAAATTAATTTATTAAAAGACGTGCAATATTTATGGAAGCTGCGTTAGGTAAGGACAAATCAAGACAAAATGGTGAATGAATGTTGATTTGGAATTTCGCCACACCCAGTGTCTCAAGATATTAAACATTACTCCATGTAAAAAAATTCAAAATGTTAACAGTTTATTGTTGTTTATTATTAAGCTAAAATATTTAAACTCATTTTTTGATCTTCACTCTTAGATTGGCGCTCTAGTTTATTTTTTTGGAAAATAACGCAAACAATAATTTTATTACAGGATTAACTTCTTACTGTCAAAATCATAGTGCACCATTAAATCACAAATAGCTGTTTTATAGTACGTGCACGTGAATAAAGATATAATTTATTAACTAGAGGAAAGTTTACTACGAAAGGTCTTTGGCCCAATAGTAAATTTCGCTAGTTATAAAATCTACTTATTCACGTGTAACATACGGCGCTTTTTCGATTAACTACGCAACAGATTTTTCTCTTAAGGTGACGCTGCAATAATTTAACATCCTTGATCGAGGTGTAAATTATATAGTTCCTAAGAAAACCACAATATTTACTACGAATTTGAAAATTAAAATTTTGATTTTTTTAGTTGGAATTAACCAGTAGTAACCTACTAATTTTTTTATGCAAACATTTTTAAAAGTTTGACATTTCTCAACGGTTCTTTCGGCGCTAAAAATTTTAAATTGAAAATAATCTGCGCATGTGCAGTGGATCGTAGCCAATCAAAATGTATAAGACGTTCAGCCAATTATTATTTTGTATGTAAGGTGAGCAAGGGCGCCCATAGGGAGGGGCCAGGGGGGCGACGTTGAGAGTTTTGCATCAATTTCCTAACAAAATCGAAACAACGAATCAATGCGTACCCATTATTAATGACGTCGTTTCTTTGCCAATCATCAATATTAAATCAACAATACCGGGCAAAAATCAGCCTTTGCAGCTGATATTGAGTTAGCGTTTCTTTACATTATGTTGGCACTGCTCATAATAAAAGCTATGCTACCATGTTTTGTGCCTTTGAAAGTTTTAAGTTAAGAGGAGTCTCTACGATTGGCATGGGATTTTCAACACTTTTTCAGAACCTAATATCTCCAATATTAACAGACTTACTGTTATGATATTTTAAATATATAACCTGTCTATAACTTCATCACAGTTTCTTAGCTAGACCGAGAATAAACTTACCTTGTTCTAGAGTTCACATTTTTTCGTTACCGTTGTGACCTAATAAATGTTAAAATCTGATTTTTAAAGTTTGACAACTAATTGACAAATTAACTAATTTAGCAGAAAGTGAAACGAAGCGGCACATTAATAAACGAATTTCATAGTCCAATGTACATCATTTATTAACACCCTATATGTATGAGATAGAGAGTATATTACAAAAATTTAAGGGTGTCCCCCCAGGAAGTTTTCTATGGGCGCCCATGAATGTAAGCACTCTATTGCATAGAAGTCTGTGATACTTTCAAATTGTGCACATTTCACACGTTATTAATTCTCAAGTCAAAAAATAGCGTTTCAGTTTTTTGGAAAATAATAACACTTTGCAGAAAGTCAGACGCTAATAGATGTACTCGTTACAGTCCAAATAAAGTATGTTTGTAGTATTTCCGGCAATTTTCCTCAAGGGGTAATTACTAAAGTTATTTACGCTATTGATATCTGTAATTAATAATTATTATAGGTACTTAAAGAAACTTTTCGTATTCGATTTCAGAACGCTAATTATAGATGCCATTAGAGCGTCAATGTAATTTGCTTACATTATCATTAATTTTTTCAGATTTAAATATATTACTTAAATAAAGCAATGAGTGTTTGAAAGTACTGCAACTGCTTAACGTTTGTTGACAACTTCTTGCCAAAAGTGGGATCAACTATTTTAGTTTTGGCAACGTAATAAACAAATGGTGTTTTATAATAATTATAAACAGATAATAAATTTTATTTCAGATAGTTGCTTATTACGTATTTTTTTTTTTTATTTTAGTCGATTTCCCAGGAATTTACATATATTTACAAACTTTTTTGTTGGTGGTGAAACTTTCTCTCTGAACTAATTGCTATTAGATAATTATAATATAGAGAGCACCAGGAATTTTATTATAAAAGTTGTTTTTTGTTCACACACTGCGCTTTTTCGTGAAAACAGACACACAGAAAAAAACAGTTACACAAACGTCTTAAAATTTTTCTTTGAATGAAACACACATGTAATGAAAATACATTTAATAAAAATAGCAAAAACGACAGCTCCCCTATTTGCCTAACACGCTAACATGCCATAATTGCGCCATTATCGGCTGTTTAAAACTAAGGCCTCAAGCATCTTGCACGCAATTTTTTACTACCGCCAAGTATTAATTACAAAGCCATTCGCAACGTCGTCTATCCGAGAAACAAAAATAATTAACGCTTAACGTCTGCCTTCACGCGATCTCAGACAGTACGATCCATTGCGAATAGCCTTTCGCAGATTAACTTAGCATGAATGAGCGTCGCTCAATGAGTACATTAAAAATAGCGTTAGTTACGCCACTGGTCGAGTGATAAACTCTACACTTACCTCGTCATGTGTCATGGCTTCTAGTTCTGCAGCAAGACTGTTTTCGCCAGCAGTGAGCATCCTGCCCTGTTCCAGTCCAGCGTGGAGTAGACTAGCTTGCAACTCATCGTTTGCTTCTTGCAACTGAGTATTTTTCGTTCGTAAGGCCGTCATTTCTTCGTGGAGTTCTTCGAGTCGAATGGTTTCCGGTGAGGTAGTTGGTAGCGCTGGAGTCCGAGCTTCTGACCTTAACCTTTCTATTTCTCTGGATAGATCTTCTATTAGTTGAACTTGTGCCTCATGTTCTTGGTTCAGTCTGCAAAATGTAGCGTGATAGTAGCGGGAAATACGCTTAAACGAAGAATCAAGCAACAAACAGCGAAAAAGAGTGTAAATTTTAAAAACTAAAAATTATACGAAGTCGAACACACCCAAGTATAGTTTAAACAAAGTACTGATTTGTCCCATCTCCACCCAGAAATTCGATCTTAATTCACTCTAGCGCGACGAATCTTGCAATGACTAAAGATAAAATAGTTAAAGAACATACATTCTTCAAACTCAAATTTAAAAATATATTTTGAATAACTGTAAATTTGTATACAATTTTTTCATTGTTTTCTAACTACCAAAACTTTTATTTTACCATTCTTCGATAGCTCCTACAATTTTCCCAGAGTTGCCGGCTGAAATATTGCAAAAAAAAAATGGAACCGGATATTTTTAAATCTTGCAACGAGAGCATAGGCACTGTGTTTTTGGAATTAGCACTACGAAATCTACGCTGAAAAGACCCTAAGCCTCAGCAGCGTACCATTGTAAATATAATTATCTAATAAGTACCAATTGTAATCAAAACATGCTTAAATAAATGTATTAAATTCAAATTCAACTACGAAATCTATATTCAAGAATTTTTTGGAAACTTTTTCAAAAACAATCTTTCTACAGCCCCTATGAAAATTTCCACCAATTTTTGAAATTTAACTAAATATATTTTGTTCTTGGTTTTGACCTCCAGAAGTTGGTTTCGGCCTCATTTCTTCGATAGTTCCTGCCATTTCTCCAGATTCGGCCAATGAAATATTGAAATTTTTTGAATGAAAAAATATATATTTTTTTGATATACATATGTATATCAAAAAAATTATTTTTAAACATTTACGCCTAGATCGTGTTTATGCTGTTTTTTAGAATCGATCTGTATAAGCTAGTTTCGTTCTCATTTATTCGATAGCTCTTATCATTCTTCTAGAATCGCCCACTGAAATATGGGAATTTTTTGGGTTAAAAAAAATCTTATTTAATTTTTTCTCAGGAACAATTCAAGTCATTTTCTCTAAACGTCTAGAACAGCATTAGTTCTACGTCGGACATATCAAAATCACCCTCACTACAGACTGAGAATAATATTCCGAAAAGATTTGTACATACGAGTATGTACTTACTTTACACTGAATCAAAAATGTGGTATTTATTGTGTCTCCTAGGCGAAGGAAGTTCAATTTTTTTTACTATCTGAGCGTAAGCTAAGGAAGTATTGTACGGCGAATGGCTACTTTAATGTTTCCCTGTCTCTCCTGTTTGTCTGTCGTCTGTCGATATTCAATATACATATGATCCCCGAAATTACCGCACCGATTGTTATCAAGTTTTATATGTATTGTAGACGGTAAAACGCTAACCAAAATTTTTTTTTGATCGTTCCCACCACAAATTTGATGACGTCATTTCAAAATTTTTCATGCACCGAGAGCATAAACACGCCATGCTTTTGGAATCGACACGACGAAATCTATATCCCAGAATTTTTTGTTTTTTTTTTTGGATTTTCTCAAAAGCAAAATTTTTCAATATCAAAATTTCGGCCAATTTTTAATAATTTTCGAAATTTAACCAAAGGCATTTTCTTATGGATTTCGACCTCCAAAAGTTAGTTTTGGCTTCATTTCTTTGATGGCTCCTACTACATTATTCCAAAATCGCCCACTAAAATATCGCAATTTTGGGATTAAAAAAATATATTACGAAACTGAATATTTTAAAATCTTCCACCGAGAGCTTAAACACGCCATGTTTTTGCAATCAGCACGAGGAAAACTATATCCCAGAATTTTTTGTCAAGTTTTTCAAAATCAAAATTTTTCGATATGAAATGGAAAATTCGGCCAATTTTCAAAATTTAAGCAACGACTTTTTTTAACGAATTTCGACTTCCAAAAGTTAGAACGGCTTCATTTTATCAATTTTTTTGATTAAAAAAATGTATATACATATTTGTAAAGCTTTCCTCTTTTACGTCTAGTTGGACAAGAGCATTAGTTCTATTCTAGTTCTACCAGACATATCAAAATCACCCTCACTACAGGCTCAAAATATTATTCCGAAACGATATAATTTAATCCGATATGCATATTCTTAAATGAATGGTTCTTAATCACAAATAATGTGGTATTTATTGTGTTTTCTAAGCGAAGAAAGTTCAACACTTTTTATTTCCCGAGTGTAAGAAACTACTGGACGGCCAATGGCTACTTTGATGTTTTCTCGTCGTTTCAAGATCGCTAGAGTTAATATTCTAAGTATTTATTAATAAAAATACATTTCTCGTCTTCGTCTGGCTGTCTGTCGTCTGTGTTAATATTTATTACACTGACAATCCCCGAAAATTACCGGACCGATTGTTGTCAAGTTTTATATGTATTGTTGAAATATCGTGTAGATGGTGAAACGCTAACCAAAATTTTTCATGGTAAAGGCTACTTAAATTTAATAAAATAACACATTATTGTACATGTGGTTTATGAATCTGCTTTGAGAGAGCAATGGCTGATTAGCTCAGCTGATGAAGCGTCGTGTTAATTACTTGAAGGTCGCATGTTCGATCCCCACATGGGCAATTTCTTTTTCTTACACTGTGACTGGTATTATTTAATTTTTTTAACTTCTACGACTCATGATGAAATAAATAAATTATTCAAATTCAAATTTTATAATTTTTCGATTACTGTACTTCAATGTTTAAATTCTACACTCTGTGTTTAGATAGTAACTTAAAATTATCAAGGGTATACAAGTTTAATCAAAGCTTTACGCTTCAAACAGAAAGGCTAGCTCACCGTGAGTTGTGAATGTTCTAGTGGTTGCATTAGCATATGAAAGAAAATACAGTTCGGTAAAATTTATTAAAGTAAAATTTTTTTCCAAAACAATGATTCTTCAAAAATCATTGAATATAAAAAGCGCAAACACAAATAAGTTCGTCAAAGAAGCAGTTTATGTGCAGTTTAAATAGAATTTAAACAATGCAATTAACGCCCTTCTATTTTAAAAAATTTGGTGATATTGCTTCATAAAACAGTTTATCGATTTCTGACCTTATTGTTAACATTGACTGAATGTGGATGGCCTTCCAAAATGTAAATTCACAAACAGATGCGCTGTGCAAAGCAACAATATTGTCGGGTTGATGTTCAGTTAATTTTGTAAAACGAAGTGCTCTACCATTCTAGGAAATGGCTATAATAAACAATCAATGTTATTGATATTTTATTCATTTTTTTTGAAATGTCATATGGTTGAAAGAAAATTCCACTAGCAAACGTTGAAATGTAATGCTAAAAAATATGTTGGTAACACCCAAGCGGTCCTTGTTCGGTTTGACAGTAATGGTCAAATAACTGTCAAATGGTTGTGATGCCAACACCATTATTTTAAAAATAAAATTCATGGCCTACTAGATTACTTTCATGATGCTTTAATCATTACAAATGTACTATCTGTTTGCAGGAGACATTATTAATTCATCTGTAAATGACATTAGAATGTTATTAAAAATAGTGAACTTCCTTCTAATGGTATACAGCATTATAAATGTTGCTTACTATAAATGTAGGAAAAATGATTTAAATCGTTGCCGAGGAAAGAACAAATAAAAATTTTATTATTAGACACAATATGAAACTATTTATTTTTTAGACAACAAATTTATTTGCATCTTAAATTATTACTAAAATTTTGAATTTATTTTTGAAACTAAATCTACCTTGAAATTAAACATAGTGACTGCAAGTATTTGTAAAAGTTCATTCTTTTTAAGAGTGTCCATGTTTTTTAGTTATTTCAAATCTAATACTAAAAAGGAAAAAGCAAACATCTACGCAAAAACGAATAATGGCACAACATCGATTTTCTAAGCAGAGATGGGGCAAATCAGTACTCAATTAGTCCAAGCTAAAATCCCCCGAACAGTGTGAAGTCACGACTTACGTAAGTGCTTTAATAATTTTTAACTGATATTATAAAAATTCGACAATTTAAAAATGACCACTGATTATATTATCCAGAAAAAGCGTAAATTTAGAACATTTTTTTTAAAAGTCGTAAAGCAGCAAAATAATGTGCCCCGCAACCAACCGGCAAATTACCTTCGTTCTTTCTCCTTAAAGCTAGTGGCTTGCTCCTTCGCAAGTATCACTTCATTGGTCAGTTCCTGGATTTGGTCAGTCAGTTCTTTCCTTTCAGATTCAAGTTTTTCTATTCGCATCCTCTGTCTTGAGACTTCTTCCTTCAGATTCGACGCCTCCGTCTCCGCCCCGTGTAAACGAATGCTGGCATTTTCTAACTGTAGTTGTTTTTCGCGTTCCACTCTATTTACTAATTCTCTAGATCTTCTTTGCTCGTCCTGGATAAGCACATCAATCGATCGCGATTTTTCTTTCGTTTCTTAACTCACCTGTATCCGTTCGTTGTATCTCATTTCCGTGTCCCTTAATTGCTCCTCTAGCATTATCACCCTGGCCTGAAGGGCGGCGTTGTCGGATTTGGCTCTCGTGTATCTTTCATCGTTCTGGTGTGCGGAATCTTGGAGAACGCCCACTTGCTGTTGAAGAACTTGGAACTGCAACAAGGATCGTAAATAGAATCGTAGATCGATAAAGCCGAATAAAGTAACATGGAAAATGCGTGAGCCAACAACAAAGACAACAGTAAAAGTGGGTCGGGCGTTTTTGGGCTGGAAGTGTCACAGAAAGATCCATGAGGGCTAGATGGAACGTTTGATTTCTGTGCTTTCAAGGATAGTTTCAAGAAACTTTATTATATGGCTTGTGACCTATTTAGATAAGGATTCCAATATATGTAGACTAGTTCTAAACACAGTTTTCTGGTCTTGATTTCTTTCTCGCACTCATGGTCAAGCACTCAAGTATCCGTGTTCAGGAAGAGCCTGGTTAATTTTTTGCGATTGGTGGAAACATCGAAACGACCGAATTTCGAAGCAGATAAGAAAAATGTTTTCACTGTTTGTTATTAATAGGTTTTTAAATTAGTGACGGAATTATAGGATTAACATTAATACTTCCAAGCATATCGGAGTCTGTAATAATCTAGGTTATTAGCTTGCTTTGTTCAAACTAAGACCTGTTTAATCCGTGTATGTTAATTACCTGATTTTTAAATTGCGACAAATGAGTTGAATCTGCATATTTCTTTGTGTTTTTAATTAGTCACATTTTTAAATTTAAAATTTACAAATTGTTAAAATTAACCATTTGTATCCTACACACTGCAGTTTTATATTACAATAGGCTCTTTAGCAATCTTCTGATCTTAACAACACAAAAAAAAATCAAGTTAGAATGTATATGTAAAATTAAAATATACAGGTGTCCCGATGGTTTAAAGACAAATATTTAGAATTTTTTATGAACTTTTAACATACATAGTTATATTTAAAAAGTCCAGCATGGTTTAAACTTGTTTATATAATTTGACTAAATAATTTTTTTTATATAAGTTTTGGTGGGATTTATGGTAGTATGTAATAATAATAAAAAAACTGTTAAGATAAATCTCAACAAATATGTCAAAAGAAACTCTGCCCAATTTGAATATAACAATAAGACTGACAATTTTCTATTATAATCACCGTGTATTTTTGCACGTTTGACAAAATAATGTATTCTGGAAAATTTCAGACTTCCATATTTAAATATGGCGGAATTTAAATTTTTAAATATGATGCAAGTATATTGTGTAACTTTGAAGTGAAATTTATATTTAAAAATAATTTAAATTGTAGTCCTAAATTAAACTGTGTCAATGAATTTTTGAGACACCTGTATATTTCGTTATTTTCGTGACAGAAATTTTGTTCTGAGATTTCTTGTTTCAGTTGGTACGGTGACAGCGATTTGTACTTCAATGAACAGACATTATTTAAATTGGTTATGAATTATGATTTAAAACGTTTTCTCAAGCTATATTCTAAAGGCACCTTTTGCGATTTTAGATCACATTAACATTTCGCCTTGGTTTATTTTTAATATTTACTAAAATTAAGACGTCGCATGTTTATAATTTTTTGTCTGTTATTTTTGCTATCGTTATCTCTCAAATAGGCCGAAACTTGGGAGACGTAACTGACACAGGAGACATGAAAACAATTCGTTTAAAAAATTTCGTGCTATTTAAAAATTTATAGTCTTTATAAAATATTTTTGCTCTTAACTTTGCGTAAGTATTAAATTTTCAAGAAAATAGGGACTCCGTCACCAACGTGTGTGTGTGTGTGTGTGTGTGTTTTTTTTTTTTTTGTTGCAGGTCAGGTCAGCTCAGGTCAGATTAGATCAATAAAGAAGGATGTATCGATTTGTATTTGGAACGCCATATCAGCACTATTTTGATCGACTTAAATCATGTTATTTAACACGTACAATAGTTCTGAAGTTGCAGCAAATTTTTCTGTTGGAAATTTTGAATTATTGGCAGCAATTTTAGTACATATGTCAGTTTACAGTTGTCAATTTGACAATCAGAGATACCATCAAATTTTAAATGTTGCCAATCTGATAAAAAAAAAACACAAATATTCATAGTTTCTCGGTATTACATTACACTGAAAAATTAAATTTAATATAAAATTTCGAAAGAATCAATATGTTTCATTATACAGTAGCGGTCATTTCTACGGAACCACTCGATAAAAAGTCAAGTTGGTAGCCCTGTCACCTAGTACTTTACGCCGAACGCGGTTGGTAGCGGTAGTTGACATGGCAATCGAAACTAGCACAACACGAATGTTTCGGTTGCCCTCAGCTATGCCGCACTGTATCCCGTGCAGACTGTATGTTCTGTTCATCTATTTATTAAAATAAAATATCTACATTGACAATGGGGCCATCTAACCTGTCAAATTTTTGACACATATGTTTTCCCCCAGAAACCCGTCGAGGTCACTTACACCAAACAAATTTTGAAAATTTACACTAGGGAGTGGTTCTATAGAAAAGATCGCGACTTTATGTATAAAACCAGAATAAAGAGAAATCGCAAAACGTGCAGTAAACTCAACAACATATCATATAGTACCACGAGATCGAAAAAGAAATTAGTCAAAGTTGGCCAAGTATTTTTGCCATCCCGAAAAAAGAAAACGTAAGTAAACCCAAACTTCAAATAAACAAATAACAATATGTAAATTAAAAAGCAAACAAATAGATAAAAGAAATGGTAATTTAAAACAAAAAAGGGTAACCTTGGAGATAATTTGGCAAATACTTTGAAATACAAAATTCAGTCGTCATTAATTTTAAAAAATACATTGCGTTGATTTTAAACAAGTTTATTCTGTTCCAACATGTTCTGTCAAAATATGACAGTTTGTCAGGTCTAACCCCTTCGTCCAATGAACTTATATGAAATTGACATAAGATCATTTTTAAATCAATTATGCCAACTGCTAGTCACAGCTCACTGCAGATCAAACAGTACATGTTCGTACGGTAGGTCAACAAATTATACATTACATAACATTTGAATTTCAATGTTTCCATGGTTAAAGCCACGTCCGCCTTGTTTAAGTCAAATTATATCAAAGCTTGACCCAAAAAAGTTTTCTTTATGGTCAGTAAGGCGCCAATATTCAAGTTTTTAAAATAATGACATCTATGGGTGAGATTTTTTTTCTTTTTGAGCATCTACAGTTTCAAATAAAGAAACGACACAATGGAGCAAAAAGTTAATGTTCTCACGATCAACGACAGCCATGGATATTTGAAAGTTTAAAAAAATCCATGGCTGACTTTGATCGTGTTTTTTATTGTTGAAACATGTGCTCTAATAATAACAGAAATTTGCCACAAAGATTCTACTTGTAAAAATTTATTTGTTTTACGGTTGACGTTTCTGTCAACAGGTACAATCAAATAAAGTATTTCTCCCATTTTGCCTAGATTTTATTTTTTATCAACTGAAAATGAAAAAAATGTAAGTATTGTATATCATTACAATCGCAATTTAACGCTCTATCAAAATCCGTTAAAAAAATTGATATACGTTCTACACCGACGCCATATGTGTCATATTTGCAATCTACTAAATTAAGCTTTCTTCTTTAAGCTAAAAACAATGGCGTTTACGGAATTTTAACTGGGACACGGTATATTTAAAAAAATAACGCTGACACATGTTCAAAATATATATGTATTTAGTTATTTTACTAGCATGAAGCTTTCTATGTATAGAATATACACATATGTGTACATTTTATAAGATCTGCATTATGAGAATCCGCTTTGTGGAACTGGGGTAATTCATGTTTTTCAGATTGGCAGTCATTATAAATGTCACTATCATATAACAAATAAATCAAAATGGTTTTTTTAATACAGAGAACCAGATTTATTTGGCAATAAAACTTCACACATTACTAATAATTTTTTTTTTACTGTGAAAATTTAAACCTCGAATGTTATAATTTGACAGTTGACGAAAGTCACCAAAATTTAAAAAATCCAACTGCGATTTTAAAATGGAAACAATTGTGCGAAGTAGAAAAATAGTATAACAAACACGTTTTACACGATATTTGAACCATCATCTCTTAAAAAATTCGTCTGACGGCTCGTTTTCTAATTTTGGGATTCGTGTCCTAAAATAATATCTTATGAAACGTGTTTTTTAATATACTGCTCCTATTATTTATCAATTTGTTAAGATGAGGTCATAAACTGTCCATAGGAAGTGAGTAAACACCTTTTATTGGAATTCTCCGAATTCTTAACCAAACTTAGTGTTTTTCTAAAACGTGGAAAAAATTTCTTGTGTAATCTTTCAAATAAACCCGAAAATTTTATATGTAATTTTCTTTCAACTAATCTTAAGATAGAGTTAAAATTTCAAGGTAACAGGTAAACCGGAAATGATCTAATAAATTTTCCAAAGATGGATATGGGAAACTTGAATTTTCGTTTTATACAACCTGAGCAACCTCTTGATTCGAAAAACAACATGTCGCTTTTCTTTTGGTTTCTTTGGCTCATTAAAGCTCCACCCAACGTTTAGTAAGTGAATCATTTTATAATGACCATTATCATCAATTTATCCTTGACGCCCGCATTTTTAATCGTTCAAAGTCACCGAAATAATTTTAATACCGTTAGTCACTTAAGGTAAACAAAACTCATCGCCCCATGTGTTGAATACCAATTATATCCGCATGGCACATATTGGCACAAATCCCCCTTTAAAAACATACTTGATCCGTCACTTCTTCGCACCACTGATGAGCGGGGCTTTTCTTGATTCCATTTACAGAATGGGGGAGATAAGGCGGAGGTCTCAGAAGTCCCTGAGGAGTGAAATTGCCATCCGATGGTCCAATAAATTCGAACTGCCCCTCCCACATATCATAATCCAGTTCAGAAATGTAGGAGACATCATTCTCATCATCACTCATTGTTAATTTAAGCACCCATTTAAATTTATTGGTTAAACAAATAAGTAGAACGTCAACCGACACTAGCACGCCACTTCAACTATTCAACTGTGTCGTATACACAAATTGATAAGACGGTGATAACCCGGTGACTTATCTATGTAGCGTTCAGTTTGTGTATT